TGGACGTGCTTTACTCACAGAAATAACGTTCATTAAGGTTAGATAAGGTATTACTGTGTTACATTCGGTAACAATTAATTTATTAACATTTATTGTAAACGCTATTTAAAAGACTTTATATCGATTTAAACACTTAAAACGCATGCAAACACAAACCTTTCTGCAGCCAAATCACAGACGGAGGAGCATGGCGCATACATATGATGTCATATACCTACACCAAAATAAAAGTCCTGTTCACACATTAAAAACACAAACATGCATTGACATTTACATACAAAACCGCATACATACATTTATTAAATGAAACGAGTTGATTTCACTAGAATATTACTGAAAGTTCATTGCACTTAATAGAGAAAAGTAATGGGACCTTAATAATATTCAGCAGAACTCAAATTGAATCAGTTGCAGCAGATTTGTAGTTCCCAGCATGCTTTGCTCTAGTCTCTGAAAGGAGAGTAAATGCTGAAATTAAATGTTTTTGCATCTGATTAATAAAGATGGACCTGTTGGTGTTTAATGTTGTTATGGTGGCATTTATAAGGGTGTGTGAGTTTTTGGGAGGATTAAATTGTGATGAAGAGTATTGAGTCTGTGAAAATGTGAACACTTTTTTAAACTGTTTTGTTTTAAAATAGGAATTTCACTTATAGTTGAAAGTATTGGTGTCAGTTAAAATATACTATTCATTTTAAAAATATAGATTTTTTTTTTAAGTATAGATTATGAAAGCATTAGGTGATCCCATAATAATCCAACATAGATTTACATGGTCATGCCAAGATAATGCCCTTCTCTGTACTAGTCGTCATTTAGTTTTGACTAGTCAAAAATCCAATTCCAGATTCTGCGATTTTGACCTGTCGTAATTGAATTATGGTATTTACAATTTGATTATGGCTAGTTAATGATTTACATCCATGTTGTCATAATTGTTTTGAGATGATCAAATGGATATTTCAGCAAGAGAGCAGTTTTCTGATGTTTTGATCTGTCGTTCAAAGAGGAATTGGACAAGATCTCGACAAGATCCGTTTAACCAAAACTTGTTACTTGGCAGCATAGGATTTCATTCATTATGCTAAGCTAAGCTAGCGTCGGCACTGCCGAACTAAAACAATGCATGCACTTTGAAAAAAATGCTTTTGCCAAACTATTTTAATGTAGGAGATATTGTGAATAAGCCCTATTTAAAAAAAACGGTGGAGTGTTCCTTTAAATAAACATGAGGTATTTCATACAGTTTATGATCAATTGATGGGCTTTGTATCTTTTACATTGTTTGTGATTACGTTCAATTTGAAACAATTCAGACCCGAAGATCAAACATTTCACTACACTCGAGTCTGTCTGAATTTGTTTAAATCTCTTTATTTGGTATTTTAACAGAAGATCATTTGTAAATACACTGCACATGCAGACAAATAAAACACATCCTAACAAACCCAGACAGCAAACTGACATTGAATCAACGTGGAAACGACGTCTCTCATGACATCGAAACAACGTTGATCTGTCATTGTTTTGCTCATCGAATTAACGTTGAACCAACGTCAGACGCGGCATTCTTCAAAGCTAAATGAAAATCGAAAATTGGTTTGCTTTCCTAACGTTGAAACAACGTTGATTTCAAGTTGATTTTCCTTTAGTTTTGAAGAATGACGCGTCCGACGTTGGTTCAACGTTAATTCGATGAGCAAAACAATGTCAGATCAACGTTGTTTCGATGTCATGTTTCCACGTTGATTCAATGTCAGTTTGCTATCCGGGAATATGCATGGAAAAAAGACATAGGGGTAATAATAATTGAACAGAAAAAATAAATCAATTAAAGTACATTAGAAAACAAGAGTAAAATAAGAACATTATAGACAGATTCCATTTGGCAAGAACAGGAAAAGGACGCAAGATCCAGAAAGTTCAGGCAAACTCCGTGAGGGAGTTAAAAAAGCAGGATCTATATTTTCCCATGAGCAGAAGTTTTGCACTTCGCTCCTCATGCTGAACAAAGGCTAAATGTGCAAACGAAGGAGATGTTTCTTTATGATAAGACCAAAAGAATTGGCTTTTTTAAATTTTAACCATACTGAAAATTTAAGAGGTTAAGGGTCAGTTCACATTAGCCAGGTTTCCATCCAAGGATTAGCTGATGGAAATTCCAATTATCAATTGACAACTTCTTGAAAGAAATTATTCTTTTAATAGAAATTCTTGGTCGATACTTTTTTGGAAATTATTTGGAAACACTGTTTGCCCGTCACATAAAGGCTGTTACATGCAGTCAGACAAACTGTGCGACATGATTTTTAGTATCTAAAAATGTAGTAATAGGTTTATTATTCATGAGAACAGTGAGCAGTAAAATGTTGAATCCCAATTGTTTTATCACTCTCTGCATTTTACAAATATTTGGGTTGCGACAGATACGATAGAATTTGCGATATATGTGAAATTATTTATGGAAATGACTCGAGGGCCGATTGTTTCGCGATACAACAAAACATATGGCACTGCGTTTTTTTTAGGAATTAATTCATTACACACCATTGTCTCGGTACAAGGTTAAAGCATTTTATGGAAACAGGCTGCAGACAGCAACTTCCACAATCGTTTATTCACGCATATTCTAATGATTGTTGACTTGCGGTTTTACTCGATTCACTTCAGGAATGGCGAGCCATATGTTCCCAGCAAGACATATGATGCCTCCTTGTTGGCAGACCAAGAAAAGGATATTTTACAAATTGCTGTACTCAGTACTGTATTGTTACATTTTGGGAAAAATAAAAACGTGTTAGTATTTAGTTGTTTACGTTTTTTTCTAATTTCAAATATTTTAAGGAATTGAGGAAGACGTCAACAAAAGACGCCCATGTCACTTGAGCAAGAGCTCTTTTTCATCATGGCTTTCATTTGGCCATGTGCAGTATCTGTTATCGCTAAATTTTAATCTTGCTAAAGCTTGTTACGTTGATAACCCGGCATTTCTAATGTTCCTGTCGATTTAGCTAAGGAAATTCATGTTTAAACGTACACTATGCGATTTTTGGCCACCAGGGGTCACTCGTTTAAAATAATAACAAAAGACGTACTTTGATGACGTCGGGAAAGAGTGTGGGCTCACGGGAGTTGTTGTCGCTGTCAATGACAACCAGCTCAGCTCATGACATGACATCATCGTTTCACAAAATATATGATATATACGGATATACGGCATCTCTCTGTAGATTTAGCTTGTCAAGAAGCTTTAAATGCAACCCCAATGTTTACCTGTGTCATGCTTCTCCTGTCCCAAACCCTTCTCGGGTCATATTTTTCAGGTACGTTTGAGCTTTAGCTAATGAGCTGGCTGTAGCAGCAGAACGTGCAGGCAAAGCGTAATCGTGGTCCATAACTATTATACAGACGAATATAAATATTAATATTACGCTACTTTAATGAATGACCTATTTTAGAACATTTTTCATATATAGGGCGCACCGGATTATAAAGCACATAAGATACTGCAGTCAAACGTTTGACTGGGTTTGCGTTATTCATCCACTATGTGCTAAAGGCTAAAGGGGATGTAGTGAGTGCGCGGCGCCGGAGGTGAGGCGTTTATTTAGTAAGCATGAGCGCGCTGAAGCGGGCACGTACATTGGCAGCCTGACTCATATGAGTATTCAATGTGCGCGGCTCGCTAACAGCAACAGTTGGCTGATTTGAATGAGACGACCCGGTTACTGTGAACGGGGAGCGCTTTATGAACATTCTGTGATGCGCGAGCAGCACCGGGGACAGTGTGTCTGTTAAGAGTGAGCGCTCGTGAGCGGGCACGTGATTTACACACAAAAAAATACGTACTACTTTTTTTTCTTCGTCATTTTCTTTGCTTTATTGGCGGTAGTCCAGTGTTCCCCTTTGTGTTTGACGGTTTCGCCGGGTTCCGCAAGGAAGTTAGAGAAAATAGAGGAGTCAAAGGTTATATGACGCCATAAACGGGCGACGAAACGGAAATAAAGAAACGTCCCGTGTCTTCGAATTAAACTATAAATTTCTCCGTATTTGAAATTTGGTGGAAACTGTCGGGATAATGTAAGTACACATCTAAAAGAAATATATAACATAGCTACAGTTAGTTTTGCTATTTTTAATGCAGAAAAAATACATATTGTGGCTTTAATTTAACTCTTAAATTGAGTGTTTTAAATTGGCAGGTGAGTTTATCTTTGGTTATCCCCATTAGTCAGTAATTTATTTAAAACCTCAATTATCTGATGTTCATGGTCTTGTGTTAACGTTTGTGCTGGTGTATAAATGTTTAAATGACGTAAATGTAACTGTTTGTCGTCAAACATCTTATTTTGGATTATCTAGTCACGCCAGCACGCATTTCCATTACAGATTTGCACAAAACTGCGATTTTTTTTCTAAATGTTGATAAAAACTATTGCGAAATGACAGCATTTCCATTTACCGATGTTATGCGACTAAAACGTCTTTTTTTCCTCTCGTGATCAGTCATTCCAAAGATCATGGCAACGGACGATCGAAGGTTTATAGCCTATATCAGAGCCACCACACTACACATTATTATTATTAATGGAAGGAGATGTGGTTTGTTATCCAGGCATTAATGGCAGGGAAAGACACATCCTGGGTGTTTCTCCTCATTTCTGATTCGAGGTCTTGATTGTGTAATTTCTTTGAGGTTTAGAGTCCAGTATTCCTGTAATTATTGTTTCTTAATAAAGAACTCTGTCTTGTATTATGTCCGAACCATGAAAGCGCTCTAGATTGTTTTATTTTATTTTACAAAAGCACAACGTTTTCTTGTTATTGTGAGTTTACACAAATAAAAGTAGTTGCGAATGATGTATTATTATTTTCTGTATGACCAGAAATGAGTATTTTTAGTTGTTTCCACTGTTGATAGGAAACGCAAGCGTTCGCGCCTGCGCGCTCCACACACACACACGGATATGCGTCAAATTTTGTGTTTATTTGTGATAATCATGTATTATTATTGTCTAACCTGTATTATGAAAGACAAGTTTTGTATAAAAGCGTCTTCTAAGTACGTAGCCTAATAAATGTTATAATAATGATGATAGTTAGGCTATGTGCAGACACGAACCCCAAACACACCGCGTCTTCTAAGTCAGGTGACTGTAAATGTTAAACCGGTTTCCATTGCAGTTTTGCGAAATATTCCTTATTCGAATTTCCTGAAAAAGCTCCTCATGCGAGCGTAAAAACCTTTTTGCAATAAACGAGAGTTTTGGCGAAATGGACGTGTTTCCATTGTGCGTATTTTCAATTCGCAATTTCAATTTGTGCAATTTTAAGGGTAATGGAAACACCACGATAACTAATTTATCATGCAGCTCAAAGCATTATGGGTAGAATCTCTCTACAGTGTATTCTGATTCATCAACACAGTTTCACTGATGATCCATAACAATAAATCCCAAACCCAGGATAGAGCGGCTGAGTGAATGTGGTCTGGACTGTGTGTATGAGGATCAGTGTGTCAGAGACGCTGTAGAAGGACAGAGTTCCTGCACTGTGATCCACATACACTCCTACTCTGTTATCCACACACACTCCTACTCTGTGATCCACACACACTCCTACTCTGTTATCCACACACACTCCTACTCTGTTATCCACACACACTCCTACTCTGTGATCCACACACACTCCTACTCTGTTATCCACACACACTCCTGTTCTATTGCTGATGGGCTTTACAGGGAGTTTAGTCTGTATGTTATTGTGTATGAATGAGTAACTGGAGGAAGAGCAGATCAAACTCCAGGACTGATCATTATATCCAAACCGACACTCATTACCCCGTCCCTTCTTGCCGATGCTCTTATATGACACTGATACATACACATCACCTCTCCACTCAATCTCCCAGTAACAGCGTCCACACACACTCTCTCTACACAACACCTGCTGACACACTTCATCAAATCTGTCTGGATGATCAGGATACGACTGAAACTCTGGGAAAGTGAGAGTAATCACTCTGTTCCTCTCAGACAGACTGAGGTATTTATGCACTGTGTTCAGATCCAGATTGAGCTGACGGGAATCTGATGGAGATAAAACACATCACAATCAGGAATTATGAATCTGTCTGATCTTTTAATGTAAAACTGTAAAAAATGACTTTTGCTGCTTGTTAAATGAACTGGTAACACTTTATAATAACAGCATGTTGTGAATCATTAGCTAAGCATTAGTAAATAGTTAATTTCATTTATCATTTATAATTTATAAAGCATTTATAAAGATTAAAGAGCCCCTATCATAGCATTTGAAATGTTCCTATTTCTGTTTTTAGGAGTTCCCAAAAACAGTTTAACGTGCATGCAAGGAGAAAAAACACTTTATTTGTCTTATAATATGCATTTATTTTTAACTGATTTGCTCACCGACTCCCAAATGATTCGTACAACGACTCATTTTTCCAAACCACTCCAGTTTGCGTGACGCTAATCAGCGGTGATTGGTCTGATGACCCAGTCAGTTATTGTTTGTTAGCATAACGCATAAACATATTGATAAAGCACTGCAGTACTACAAGACGCTCTATTCTTTATGACGACTCTAATAACAGCGACAAACATTTCACATATTTAAAAAAAATTGACATTGGAGACCTAGAAGCTACGCTGAGCGGAACTTACACACACACACACACACACACACACACACTCACACATAGGCATGTGCCGATATCAAATTTTCATGCTGCGGTTAATTGAAGAGCTTTTATCACGGTATACGGTATTATCACGATATTTTAATGAAATTAATATTTTAATGCTCAAGAAAAACAGATGCATTGTGGGTCTCTAAAAAAACCCCCAACTTTTTTAAATAGTTAATTTTAAACTATTTAAAGAATTTTTTAAAGTTTAGTGACAACATGTTACAATGTTTATGATACAATGACTGGCAGGTTACTGTTTGTATTATTCAATTAAATTCTTGGATTTGATTTCAGTCTTAATTCAATATTGACTCTTTTGGATAAATATTAGGTAGGCCCCAGTCTTTTAATATTTCTCAAGAAAAAAAAAATACACATAATGCTGTAAACATACAGAGAGAAATTAAATATAATATTTAGCAAAAATACTCCTTGTTATTTTTTTCTATTCAACTAATTTGCTGGTCATTAAATGGCTTTCCTGAGGTAAATGTAACGTTTTGTGACACAACTGTTCTCCTGCAGTGTTACTGACCTCTTTCCGTGTTTAAAAACACTTATTGATCGTTATTATGTATAAGTAAATATACCTTTCGGTAAGTTGTACTGTATCTTTAAATAAAAACGAAAGTAACATGATCGGCTTACTTGAACTGAGGAGCAACGATCTGTGATCAGAACCTAAGAGCTGATTTATCAATAACAACTTTCATATCAAAAGTAACCTGCTCTGTCTAGTCTGTCGGTGTCAGTGTCCTCTTTGCTCTGTGATTTTTCTCTGTGGGAGAGCGTGTGAAAAGTGTCAAATGTGTTAAGCGCCCTTCAGACAGGACGCGGAATGCGCGGCGCTGACCGCTTGGTTCAACGTTGCCCTTCAGATACAACGCGATTTGCCATTTTACAAATAAAAAGTTGAACTATTTTGAACTTTAACCCTGGTGTGTGTTGATCGATGCAGGTCGACGCAGCAGCAAAACATCCCTGCGCGTCGCGCGCGTATTCCGCGTCCTGTCTGAAAGTCTCAAGCTGAATGCGTGAGAGTTGGCAGCCCTGCGGGGATAAATCGTCGTGAGCGTTCCGCCATGCTTCTACTCCATGTGAGGATTGTTTGACTAGTGTGCACTGTCGCATGCACACAGTGCTTATGTGGGGATTGTTTACATCAGAGTGCGTGCGTGTTTTGCGCAGCATATACGCAGTGTTTGAGCGGTTGATGGAAAATAAGTTAATGCACGCTCTAAAAGTCTAAATTCGAATCTATTATTTTTCACGGTATTTTGAAGAGCCCGCGATAACAATATCGTGCATATTCATTACCGCGATTTATCGCATTACCGATTACCGGCACATGTCTACTCACACATAGTTATTGCGCCTTCCCTCCTCGCGCCCGACGCTACAAAATCGTTCAAAACCCATAAAAGCAACAATTATTAATAATACTTACAGGTTGTGATTCGAAGGAGGAAGCTGATCCATATACACTGGGTAAGTAAGTTACTGAGCCCTCCTTCAGGAACAACCGCTTGCGAATCCACATTTGAATTCATTTAAGTTTTTGAACTAACGTTATTCGTCATTAAAATGATGAGAACACAATCGGGCTATACTGTTGTGGTATCGTTGCAAATATGAACTCTGACCACCGATTCTTCACATGCTCGTCCCTGGTAAATGAAAACAAAGTGGCTGAACTATCTTTGCATTGTAGATCACAGCGTCTTCTCGACATGATGCTATGATGAAGTATTTGAATGTGTAGACTTCAAGTTTACATTTCCGTCTGCGCGCACAGTAACTGGGCGCGGCCAGTATGTATCTACGTCACGACGAAACAGCTAATGACTCGTTTCAAAAACAATTCATTTCATAGACTCAGAGTCGACTCTCAATTTTGAAAGACAATAACTTTATATACGGTGCACTTTCAGATATAAATCTTTGCAGGATGTTTTCATTCCCTTAGAGCTATATTCCACACCATATGAACAGTCATTTTCAAAAATCCATGATAGGGGCTCTTTAAAGGTGGGTAAGCGTATTTCTAAAACACTGTTGGTCGTTGTCAGTGGTGTAGTCTATTTTTTTGTAGTTAGTATACTGTGAATTAAAAAAAAAAAAATTTAAAAAAACATTATAAGTACAAATACAAATTTACATTTTAAAAATCACAAAATGAAAAAAAAATCACTGTTTAAATTAAAAAATGTATAAAAAGTTTGTGACATTCCTTTAAAATATTTTTTTTAATTGATTTTTAATTGATTTGATTATTAATATTTTAAAAAGTAGGCCTACATCTTACTTTGCAATTTCTTTCATAATTTCTTCGGGTCACTTTCTTTCTCTCTACAAACTTTTATTTTGGTGGGTTGTCATAAAGACATTTGAGTTTCTGTTTGTTTTAATAAACTTTTATTATTATAATTTGGCCTACTTGAATTATGTTCTACTGTGCAATACTAAAAAAAATTCTGTTATATTTTAAGTTATAAATTTTCTTTTATTTTGACAGGTTGTCATCAAAGACTTTAAAGTTTGCGAGTGTATATGATACAAATGAATGATGATAGTTTTATCAAATGAAATGGTAAAATTCTTGTGAAGTGACTCTCATAAAAGCTCTGCGATGAAGTTCAAATGTGTGCATGTCCTCATAGATGCTGAAAACACCACGAGTGTCACGCGCACGTCAGTGTAGTAGAGCACACATTGAGACATTACATATCGAGATTTGTTTGATTGTCTCTTTGTATATCCTTTTGATTTATTCATTCAAAAATGGCCAAATTGCGTGACATTCCTCTTAGCAGCTACTTACATTTGTGACTGGATCCCGCGATTCGATACATGTCGTTGTGCAAACACAGATGGCGGGCGAATTAATGAATGAAAGTTCTGTCATAAAATAATGCTGTTACGAATCACACTTTTTTAGGTTGGTATACGGAAATCTTGACCTTTTCTAGTGGGCATACGGCGTATACCTGTGTATCACGTAGACTACACCACTGGTCACTGTTACAGAAATCCTATTTAAAATTTTTTTGACTGAAATGTATCTCTCTCTCTCTCTCGATCTATCTAACTTTTTCTAACTAATTCTTTCATTCTTTCTAACTACTCTTTCTTTCATGTAAACTAATCTCCCCCCCCCCCCTTTAAAATTTGAGACTATTATACTTTTATATTCAGAGTAATTTATTCAGACTAAAATTCTGAAAGCGCTTGAACTGCATTGGACTCCTGTTTAATAGAGATCTGCAAGAATGATATTTATTCATGGTTAATGTGTGGCATAAATTATCCAAACCGCTAGAGGGAGCTCTCACCAAGGTCTGCTCAAGAACGCGTAATACAGCAGTTAATGCAGATGATAACACGGAATTGAGATGCTCCACTTGTGATTGACTTTGTAACATCATATCTGTCTTGCAGGATTGCATGCAAAACCCCATCATTAAATGTGTTGCACCAGAAACGACGCCTGCTCCTTTCTATGTGTGTAACACAAGTACAAAAAATGACCATACAGCACACAATAGTAAATGCAAACATGTTACTCAGTGTTACCGTGAGGAGCGAATGAAAGCAACATCTGTGTCTGTTTTCAGGCCTTGTTTCTAATAATAATGCGGGTCCTAAAGCTCTTGCCCAGTCATAACCCTTCCTTTTCCAGTGATTTTCTTATGAGCTTTTCTCCTCTGTATTATGTCTCATCTCTTTTTCTATTTCTCTACGCCCTGTAATGCTGATTGTCTACACGTTTGTTGTTTTGTCAGTCCGACTAACTCTCAAACAGGATTTTTCGCTTACCCCACCTTTAATAAGCAGTTTATAAATACAGCTTCAGAATCATGAATATTTTTAGTCTGGTGTCTCTATTGTCTATGCTTTGGGTGATCAAAAGACCAAGCCTATTCATTTACATCCACATTTAGCATTTTAATCAACAGTACATTTTTTGTTAACCTTTTACCATGTCTTGGAGTATTGCAATAATATCGTATCGTGAGTTCAGTTGTGTTATATGTATTGAGTTGTGACATTAGGGTATTGTTACACCCCAAAATCCTACTATTCGTGATTAATTCAAGTAGTAACAAAACATTTAAGAGTTGTCAATTAAATGAAAGCGTAGCGGAAGTTCTGCCAGGAAGACTCAATTGTCACGTCATTATTACCTTCTCATCTATCCAATCGCGTTCTAATACGTGAAGTATAAAAGACCCTTACTTGCACTTGTCTGAGTTCGCAGATGCTGACGCTTCACTTACCACCATCCTCCCCACCTCCACCAAGACGGTCTTCGCTCCATCCTTCTCACCACCACCACCAGGTCGGTCCCTTCCAAAACTCCAAGTGGGGGTCGGCTGCGCCCCTGCCTTCATCTTCAGGCAGGATATGCAGAATCCATACCCTCGGATCGCGAGTTACGGACGGGGCCTACGCCAAAGAACTTTATTGCATATATGGCTTGCTGGGCTGTTAATAAAATGTTTTATCGTACAGTATCTTATCTCCCGAGTCTTTCTGGTAGAACTATTTTTATGAGCTCAAGTGAGGACTAGTTATGCCTCGTAAAGCTTTTAGAAAACAGGATTTCCTCTTTGAATAAAGGGAAAGACCTGTTAGTGTTTGAGCAGAAGAGGTGCTTGTGTTCAGGCTGTGAGAGTCTGTCAAGGTTGGTCACTTCAGTCTGTGTATTCTTGGTTTGGTGACAGAGCTCTGACGCTCCTGCTGTCGTTGGGGGAGATGTGGCCTAATGGTTAGACTTGGGTTCGAGTCTCAGTACCGGCAGGAGATGTAGATGCGGGAGTGAATGATCAGCGCTCTCTTAACTCTCATTATCCACAACTGAGGTGTTCTTGAGCAAGACACCGAACCCCCAATCGTCCATAGTGTGTTCACTATTCACTGCGCCCAATGTGTGTGCACTAACTTAGATGTGTTAAATGCAGAGGGCAAATTCTGGGTTACCACACTTGGCCTTCACACGTCACTTTCACCTTAACTTGTGTGAGGGTGCGGTTTTAAGTTCGCTCCGGCTGTATGCCCTTCTGTCCGTTGTTGTGTTGTATTGTTGTGCTCTGTGTAGCACAGGCTCATGTTTTCAGCAGCCGCACATTTTAATGTTGTCATGTTTTGTGTGAACACATGGCTTATACGTGTGCTCATTAGCTGCAGTTTCTGTTTTGTTTAGTGTGAGCACATGGCTTGTCATGTCTGACTTTGTACCATGTGCTTGCATGTCTGTTCTAACACGGCCATCTTGTTATCTGATTATTGGTTTATTTGCCCCACTTGTCCTCCCTTGGTTCCTGGCTTGTTACGCTCCATATTTATTGATTCTCTGTGTTTGCAGTTCAGTGTCCTGAAGTCCTTGAGTCCTCGCCTCATCCCTTACCTCAACCCTGACAGGCTACATGACAAACATCATGTGTGTTGCTTCACTTGATAAAAAATTACTGATGAGAAATAACTGAGCTCATGCCAGTACTGAGACTAGTCTCTTTTTACAAGCTCATCCTCTATGTTACATTTATGTTCAATATATCATCAGTGTCTCAGTTTAGCAGATATCGTGTGCAAATCATCATTTCCATGATCAACTATAAAACTCTTCTGTCATGTTTTCTTCCACTTCTCCAGGAAGAACATGAACACACTCAGAGAGTTTTCTGCTGGTTTTCTTAGTGACTTACATTGTAGGAAGTCGTTCCTGGTCCTGGGAACAATGTTGGAGAGAGTGACTGTGGAAATAACAGACATGAAGAGTGTGATTATCATGTCTAGAGAAAATGATCCCTGCATCCGTTCCTAAGACATTTCTAATATGATCTTCTCTGGCATGATCTGAGATGATGGAGGATCATTTCTGAGAGCAGGATCTCCAGGACTTTACCTCTGTCAGAGATCTTCTTCTCTTTGCAGAAATCCTCCAGTCTGTCTCTCAGCTGACGGACAGATTCTCTCACGCCATCAAAAGAGGAGAGCGAACTGAAGGGATTGTCATTGACGTCTGTAGATTCAGGAGGAGCTGAGAGAGACTGGAAACTCTACAGAAAACACAAATCAAAGCTCATCACCTTCACACTTCATCAATAACCGGCTCTACTGTCAGATGTGTGCGGCTCTTGATGATCTTTAGTAACTCTCCTCAATCCAGCACATCTCATATTCATTATGTCATTAGAGCTGCAAATTCTAGCATATGCCATTTACACTATATGTAAACTTTTTAGAAAACCATTTGGATGATAAAGCATCTGCTAATAACATAAATTTAACAGATCTAGCACATCAATGGTGTTGACATTCAGGGCTGTTTCTGACTGGATGAGTTGAGCTAGATGAAATGAGTTGTTAACATGGTAACATAATGACACTGCATTTTTACCAATCACCTCACATGGTAAATTTTTGAAAAATGCAAAGAGCATTTAAAGGTAAGGTATGTGATGATGATCCAATTTCAGCATATGACACAGGTACTAAACACAGGGATAAAAGTCAAACTAGTATTTGTTTTCACTGATTCTCTGGATCCACCACTGACCTCCAAGCCCATGACTCCAACTTGGCCCATTCGGCTCCATGCTCCTTCGGTAAGTAGCGGGACAGGGGCCACAGACTTAGGGGGAAAAAGTCCATGGAGAGACTGGTGGAGGAAAAGTCCACAGTGTCATCAGCATTGGAGGAGCTGACCTTGGAGGAGCCATTGGGGGAAGAGCCTGCATTGGAGTTGACAGAGGGAGGGGGGGGGGGTCTACACCTGTGACAGTACCTCCTCTCTACCGAGCGGCTACCTGATGCTCCATAATGTAACTACAACACAACACAAGAGTTCAGGAGGGAGGTGGAATGGTGGAGGATCAGGGGGAGGGATGGTGGGCCAGGTCCATAAAGGGAAACAGGAACAAGGGGCTTAACCGACAGCCAGGGCAAAACCGAGAGTCCATCGGCTGGCCAGGGCGGAGAAGACAGTCCATCGGGCAGCCAGGGCGGAGAAGACGACAGTCCTTCGGGTGGCTAGGGCGGTGAAGACCCTTCGGGCGGCCAGAGCAGTGAAGACCCTTCGGGCGGCCAGGGCGGTTAAGACCCTTCAGGTGGCCAGGGGGATGCAGGTCGAACAGGCGGCCAGGGTGGCGACGTCACCTCGGGTGACCAGGGCGGAGACTTAGGAACAGACACTGGCTCAGAAACAACAACAGACACTGGCTCAGAAACAGCAACAGACGTCGGCTCAGGAACAGCAGACTACGGCTCAGGAACAGCAGTCAACGGCTCAGGAACAGACACCGGCTCAGAAACAGCAACAGACGCCGGCTCAGGAACAGCAGACTCAGGAACAGCAGACACCGGCTCAGGAACAGCAGACTCCGGCCCAGAAACAGCAACAGACACCGGCTCAGGAACAGGAACAGACACCGGCTCAGGAACAGGCACACCGGCTCAGAAACAGGAAATGACACCGGCTCAGGAATAGCAGACACCAGCTCAGGAATAGCAGACACCGGCTAAGGAACAGGAACAAACACCGGCCCGGTGGCGGCCATCTTGTCTGTGGACACTGGAACAGGCTCAGGAACAGATACTGGCTCCGGCTCTGGAACAGCAGAAACTGGCTCCGGCTCTGGAACAGACACTGGCTCCGGCCACAGAACCGTCTCTGACTGGGCAGACGAGATGTGAACAGTCTCTGGCTGGGCAGAAGGGACGTGAACAGTCTCTGGCTGGGCAGAAGGGACGTGAACAGTCTCTGACTGGGCAGACGGGACGTGAACAGTCTCTGGCTGGGCAGAAGGGACGTGAACAGTCTCTGACTGGGCAAAAGGGACGTGAACAGTCTCTGGCTGGGCAGAAGGCACGTGAACAGTCTCTACATGAACAGTCTCTACCTGAACTGTCTCTGGCTGGGCAGAAGGGACGTGAACAGTCTCTGACTGGGCAGAAGGGACGTGAACAGTCTCTGACTGGGCAGAAGGGACGTGAACAGTCTCTGGCTGGGCAGAAGGGACGTGAACAGTCTCTGACTGGGCAGACGGGACGTGAACAGTCTCTGGCTGGGCAGAAGGGACGTGAACAGTCTCTGACTGGGCAGAAGGGACGTGAACAGTCTCTGACTGGGCAGACGGGACGTGAACAATCTCTGGCTGGGCAGAAGGGACGTGAACAGTCTCTGACTGGGTAGACGGGACGTGAACAGTCTCTGGCTGGGCAGAAGGGACGTGAACAGTCTCTGACTGGGCAGACGGGACATGAACAGTCTCTGGCTGGGCAGAAGGGACGTGAACAGTCTCTGGCTGGGCAGAAGGGACGTGAACAGTCTCTGACTGGGCAGACGGGACATGAACAGTCTCTGGCTGGGCAGAAGGGACGTGAACAGTCTCTGACTGGGTAGACGGGACGTGAACAGTCTCTGGCTGGGCAGAAGGGACGTGAACAGTCTCTGACTGGGCAGACGGGACGTGAACAGTCTCTGGCTGGGCAGAAGGGACGTGAACAGTCTCTGACTGGGCAGACGGGACGTGAACAGTCTCTGGCTGGGCAGAAGGGACGTGAACAGTCTCTGGCTGGGCAGAAGGCACGTGAACAGTCTCTACATGAACAGTCTCTACCTGAACAGTCTCTGACTGGGCAGAAGGCACGTGAACAGTCTCGACATGAACAGTCTCTACCTGAACTGTCTCTGGCTGGGCAGAAGGGACGTGAACAGTCTCTGACTGGGCAGAAGGGACGTGAACAGTCTCTGACTGGGCAGAAGGGACGTGAACAGTCTCTGACTGGGCAGAAGTGACGTGAACAGTCTCTGGCTGGGCAGAAGGGACGTGAACAGTCTCTGACTGGGCAGACGGGACGTGAACAGTCTCTGGCTGGGCAGAAGGGACGTGAACAGTCTCTGACTGGGCAGAAGGGACGTGAACAGTCTCTGACTGGGCAGACGGGACGTGAACAGTCTCTGGCTGGGCAGAAGGGACGTGAACAGTCTCTGACTGGGCAGACGGGACGTGAACAGTCTCTGGCTGGGCAGAAGGGACGTGAACAGTCTCTGACTGGGCAGACGGGACGTGAACAGTCTCTACCTGAACAGTCTCTGGCTGGGCAGAAGGGACGTGAACAGTCTCTGACTGGGTAGACGGGACGTGAACAGTCTCTGGCTGGGCAGAAGGGACGTGAACAGTCTCTGACTGGGCAGACGGGAGGTACAGTCTCTGGCTGGGCAGAAGGGACGTGAACAGTCTCTGACTGGGCAGACGGGACGTGAACAGTCTCTGGCTGGGCAGAAGGGACGTGAACAGTCTCTGACTGGGCAGACGGGACATGAACAGTCTCTGGCTGGGCAGAAGGGACGTGAACAGTCTCTGACTGGGCAGACGTGATGTAAACCATCTCTGGATCAGCCTCCAGAAAAGAGGCGGGCTGCTGGGACATGGCCTCCGGGCCTTTGGGGAGCCTAGAGGTCTTCCTCCTCCTCCGCCATTTCTGCTGGTGAAGTGCGCGCTCAAGGTTGAAGAGGGGCCTGAGTGGAAAATGGTGTTGGGTTTCCTCTCGACCACCTTCTCCACTACGACCTCCACGTGTCCCGCAAAACTTGACCAACCGGGTCCACTCAAACAATTCCCTTACCTCCCACTCGATGGCTGGGAAGAGATATTAAAAAACATACCGCTGGATCTGGGTTTGACGGAGTCCTTCTGTCACGAAACCACACACGGAAAGCAGAAGATCCAATTTGCAGTATGTTTAATAAGGGCAATCCAAAATCATAGTCATCCAGGCAGGGGCCAAAATCATCAATCAAAACATAAGAACAAAAACAGGAACAAGCAGGAACACAGACCTCAGAAGTGGCGACATATAACAAGGACTTCGTAACAAACACTAACACAGACAGGGAATATATACACACAGATCTAACAAGGTGGTGGGAAACAGCTGAGTGCAAATAACTGATGATTGACAGACAGAATGCTGGGAATTGAAGTTAAAATTTGAAAGACACCGTGAGAACAAGGACCTCTAGTGACAACCCAGGGAAACACAACCAGACAGGAGGGATGGCCTCAGGCATCTGAGGGATGACGAACCCTGGTGGGCCTGAAGGAGCTTGGAACCATGGGGGAACCAATAGGTTGAAGGCTAGGCGTAACCAGCAGAGGAAGGAGCCAGGAGGCTGGGTGGAACCAGCAGAGATGGAGGGCCAGGGAACTATTCAGGACCAGAGAGTCCATTAGAGCTAGTGAGCCTGTTGGAGAAGGAATGACCTCAAGAATGGAAACGTGTAGGAGTCAATTTCGGAATATTTAGGTCAATGAGTGCTAACTCCAGGACTAGAGTATTAGGGATCCTCCTCCTCTTCACCCACTGTGAAGGGGAACCACAGCTGGAGAGTACAGACTTCACCTACTCACAGAATAACCCTTGAGGGCCATCCATATAAAGTAGGTGATATAAGGCGCACATGGAGTCATCTGGTTAGAGCACCATGCGATCTAGATGGAGATACTGATGGGTGTGATCATCAAGGGAACAGTCAAACTGCATATTAATTTAATCAGGTTTCAAAATAATCTGAAGCATTTTAGGTGAAAATTCCTCAATATTGGTACCATCAGTTTCACCATGTAAAATTTTGATTAAAAAAAGTTTAAATGTTATGGAAGTTTTGAATGGTTGATGACACTAGTGGAGTTTAGCAGCTGAATATATCTTCCAGAAGAGGGAGCTAAATAAATGGTTTCCTAAGACATTTCCAGAGCTGAACTGATTTTGCAAGTGTCACTTTGAAAAGATGATCAGATGAGAGTCTGACTAATGATTATATCATAACCGAACACACAGATCAACACTTCAGTCAGAGGCTCATTCTGCTCTCATCAAATGTTTCTCTGAGTCTCTTGCTCTTGTCCACTATGATCCTGTTCTTCTGGATCTGTGTTACCTGCAGGAACCGTATGTGATCCTGTGTGTGTGAAAGCTGCTCCAGCTCAGCCTCTCTCCTCCTCAGATCATTGATCTCCTGCTCCAGTCGCTCCAGTCGTTCTTCAGCTCGACTCACTGCAGTCTTTTCCTGATCTCTGATCCGCTGTGTCGCCTCAGAGCGGCTTCTCTCAATGGAGCGGATGAGCTCAGTGAAGATCCTCTCGCTGTCCTCCACTGCTGTGTGTGCAGAGCGCTGTTAGGACACACATCACAATCACACAGTGAGCTTCAGTGAGTCCTGACTGAGACTTCTCAAACTTCTCTTCTTCTCCAGACTCACCTTATGAGACTCTACAGCCTCTCTCAGCTGCTGAAGATCTTTCTCTCTCTGCTGGATCCTCTGCTGGAACGACCTCTGCGTCTCCTTCAGCTGCTTCTGCAGCACAAACCAATAACAGAGATGCACTTTACACTCTCACTATCATCATGAGAAGAGTTGAATCCAGTGACAGGAGAATTAATAACCAATGGCTGGAAGTTCAAACTCCTGAAGGGATGATGGATCAGTTTTACCACCATTGAACATGAATTTACATGAAGCAGAAGTTCTGTTTCACACTGCAAGCATAAGCATCATAAAAGTCAAACTGACACACAGATGTAAAGCTTCACAATGACAGAGTTTCTGCTGAATAACAGACTTGCGGATCTATATAGTTCAACTGGACTGAGTCAGATTTACTGAACAATGTCCATTTTTTAATAACCCATAACCTAGATTGAACAATGTGCTGCACAATAAAAACATAACAATAAGACAATACAATGTAATTAATTAAAACACAGGCCAACTCAAGAAAATGTGTTTTTAACTTAAATTTAACTTTATATATATATATATATATATATATATATATGAAGATGCAGATACAAAAGGGCAGATCTAATCCACAGTCTGAAAAACTTCAGCTTCGACTTTGGAATTCATAACAATCTCTGGTGTCCTACTGAGGAAGCGTGGTCACTCTAAATAATATTTGCATAATATTTTCCATTATTTTATGTCCACTTACAGTTGCTCTTCACTTCTGTGACGTCTGCAGTGTGAATGATGTTTCCTGATCATATGGTGCCAATATAAACAGTATCAACATTATTTCATCAGTGTCTAGTTTCATACCTGTTTCTCTGTCCTCTGCGCTGCAGCTGATACAGTGTCGTGGTTTTTATGTTCGTCCATCGCACACAGCACACATATACACTTCTGGTCAGTGCGGCAGAAAACCTCGAGGAGTTTATCATGTGTTTGGCAGATCATCTCCTGCAGTCGTCCAGTGGCGTCAGTCAGATTGTGTCTCTTTCCTTTAAACAAACTCTCATGTTGTTCAAGGTGACTTTGACAGTAAGACTCCAGACACACCAGACAGGACTTGACGGCTTTGTGTTTTCTTCCAGTACAGACGTCACACTGCACATCTCCAGCTCCAGCGTAACAGTCAGCAGGAAGTGTAGTCTTCTTCAGTTTCTCCACCAGTTCAGCCAGCATGGTGTTTTTAGCTAAAGCAGGTCTTGAACTGAAGGTCTGTCTGCACTGAGGGCAGCTGTAGACTCTCTTCTCGTCCTCCTGATCCCAGAAGCCTGTAATACAGATCTTACAGTAACTGTGTCCGCAGTGAATGGTCACTGGATCCTTCAGGAGATCCAGACACACTGGACACAAGAACTCATCGCGAGAAAATCTGGCTTCTTCCATTTTACTGCATGGGACACACAAACACACAACAGCTCGACTGCACTTCAGTTTCACTTTCACAAATTCTTCCTGCTTCCTGGTTTTGTGTTTGAGTGACGTGTGCAAAAAAGATTTATCTACAAGTCTGTGAATCAGGTTCCTCATTCCTGCTGCTGGACACCCTTATTCCTGTGGAGTTCAGTTTCAACCATAGTCCCACACAACCGGATGTTATTTTAAATGCAAAAACTTTTAAAGGAAGTAGTTAGAAAAAGGAACCCTGCTGTAAAGTCACAGATCATAAAACCTCCACTAGATGTCAGTCTCAGACAGTCACTCAAAAACACTTTACTGAGAATCATGAATACTGCATCCTAATGACTACACTTGTACAGCATTAAAAGTGTGTCCAGTTCGTCGACATCTAGCCTTTATTATGGATATCTAAGGAAAATACCCCTGGTTGACTGCTTCGTCTGTTAAGAAAGCGGTTAGGGGTAAACAGTTAAAGACCCACAACCAGATGTGATGAATAAAGACCCGGAGTCAGAATTATAATAAATTAAAGATAAGATTTACTGCAGATAGTTTGCAGTTTCATCAGCAGAAATCAGCTTCAAGACTCACACAAGAGTTCATAGGCCACCTCCATTACAGTAACAGATCACAACAATTATACCATTCACTATTCACTATGTCCTTGCTTCAGGTTGCAGTTTATGATTGGCTAAGAACACATATAGTCTAAGTAATTTTCCTCATACAGATAGACTGAAGCATTTCTCCATAGATTATGCAGCTGACACTCAGACCCTGAAGTTAAGGCACCAGGTCACAGATTTGGGTGGCTGGGCGCCAACATGTCGAAGAAAACAAGTCAGTAAATCTCCCATAATGCCAGTGGTTCCTTAACACCGACACAGCTTTTCCAATGTTGGATTTGGCAAGACTAACTATAAACAGGAGAGTCATCTCAAAGCATCAAGATAATTCATTCTTTCTCTCAAGGATAGCTAGACTTTAGTGTAACTGGAAAGTAAGGAAGTAAGGAGATCTGCCAGGTTCAAAGAAGGTCCCCAGACAGCAAACTGACATTGAATCAACGTGGAAACGACGTCTCTCATGACATTGAAACAACGTTGATTTTGCTCATCGAATTAACGTTGAACCAACGTCAGACGCGGCATTCTTCAAAGCTAAGTGAAAATCGAAAATTGGTTTGCTTTCATAACGTTGAAACAACGCGTTGATTTCAAGTTGATTTTCCGTTAGTTTTGAAAGAATGACGCGTCTGACGTTGGTTCAACGTTAATTCGATGAGCAAAACAATGTCAGATCAACGTTGTTTCGATGTCATATTTCCACGTTGATTCAATGTCAGTTTGCTATCTGGGTCTGGCTTTCCCGATCACTGCAAGGGACCCGTCAGACGGCGGCTATGAAGTGGCTATGAAGAGGGGGCTCGGATTGTCATGATCCTGGTCCTTTTTCTTGGTTCTTTGTCTCCCTCTGTTGGTCATTTTGTGTTCTTGCTTCCTTTCTCGCTTTCTCTGCTTTCTCATTACCGCAGCCGCGGCTGCTTACTGCTCGTTATCTTATTATCCTTTCACACCTGCTCTCTCTTTTCTCTAATTCTGTCTGCTACTTTTACTCCTGCTTTTCTCTACCTCTTTGCCAGATTATTTCAAGTGCCAAGACGTGTTTGTCACCTCTCGTGCAAAGTCCTGTCCAGTCCTATCCTGTCCAGCACTGAGCTACTGTGAGTCTGTTCCATTGCTACATTGTCGCTACTCATCTGTGCTTGTTTCAGAGCCTCTGTCTGACGCCAGCTTGTGGATCTTCGGTGACTTATTCATCCGTCGCTCTCGCTGTCCAGCCTAAGGAAGAGAGTATCGCCTGTAACCTGCTCTGCGGGTTTCCCTTTGTAGAACTATATATTATTTTGAGAACGGTCCTTACCTGTGGACATCTTTCCGTTCATTAAACTGACTTTTTGCTGCAAACGCTTTTGGGTCCTCTGTCTGTCTCTCATCATCACACGGATTAGAGGCAAATGCTATCTATAAATATTGTCAAATGAAAAGGGTCAACCCCTGTGGATGTGTAATTCGCCCTGACACTCCTTGGCTGGGGGCATCTCCAGATGGGTTCATCTTAGAGCAACTTTGCGTAATTTAGCTTAAAAGTTCTCTAAAGGTGATAAAAATCCAGAACCTTTACAGAACATTAGGGACTTTTGGTTATGAAAGTGCTGTGGTTAGATGTTCTTTATATGACTTTAGGGGGACATATGATTCCCTGTTAGTCAGATAGGAAGTTTCATTTAGGACTGTGCTGCAACATCTGTTCCTGATCCATTTGGAACTGTTGGTTAAGTTCTCATAAAAAACAACACAATTTCTATTACGAAGACATTTACTTTTATAAAAAAGGTTTATTTTTCCACAATATATACACAGTACAATGTACAGTAAATCTTAACTTTTTTTCCAATAATAGGTTGTGATAATAAAAAAAAATAATGTTACTATGTGTCAGGAAGCATACACCGAGTCCAGTAGCGAGTTGAAATAAAGTTTAATTGTAAACAGTCAGGAGAACAAACAGAATAGCTGGCAAATAAACAGGCACCCAGCAGGTCCTAGGGAAGACGAGAACTGCAAAGTAGAATCCAAGCGGGGTGGAGGAGAAATAACGCGCTGTGAATATCCTCAACACAGGCAGACCACAGCTCAGGCAGAACAAAAACCGGGAACAGGAACAAAACTGCACAGAACACGAAATCAGTACAAGAACCAGCAACCCAAACGATCTGACACTGAACATGAGCAACACATCACTACATATAGGACTAAATAAATGAGACACACCTGCGTCTGATCTGAGCGCTCGTCGGCGTAGCTGACGCTGATAGGCAATCAGATCAGCAAGCAAGAATAAGCAAGTAACTCGCAAACCGTGACATTACCCCGCCCCCTAGGAGCGTCACCTGCCACTCTCAGAGAGTCCTACCTGGCAACTGTTATCATTGATCAGTGAACGATCCAATATGTCCCGGGAAGGAACCCAACTCCTCTCCTCTGGACCGTAACCCTCCCAGCCCACCAAGTACTGGAATCCACGTCCCCTCCGCCTTGAGTGCAGGATACGATTATCCGAATAGGCTGGTTCCCCATCTACGATTCGCAGTGGTGGGGGAACCGGGACAGGTGGACTAATAGCTGGACGAAAAACTAGCATGATTTTAGACACATGGAAGGCGGGGTGAATCCTCCGGTACGCCAGAGGACATTTGAGGCGGAACGTCACCAGACTAAGGACCTTAATGATGGTAAACGGGCCGATGAATTTCAGAGCCAATTTTCTACAAACAGAGCAGAGAAATATCAGTAAATGAAAGCCACACTTTTTGACCAGCGACATAGACGGGAGGTCTCGACCAGTGGTGATCGGCCTGGACCTTAGTGCACAAACCCACCTGGAGAAGGGTCCCCCTGGATGAATTCGTGGGCAGAGGGGACCACAATCTCGGATTCCAGATTAGGAAATATTGATGGCTGGGACCCTAAACTATACTCAAATGGAGATAGGCCTGTGGAAGACACTGGTTTTGAGTTATGCGCGTACTCAAACCATGAGATATGCTGACTGTAAGAGGATGGATTCTGTGACGCTAACATCACAACACTAGTTTCAAATCTTGGTTGACCCTCTCCGTCTGACCGTTGCTCTGGGGATGAAACCCAGAAGAAACTGACATTTGCCCCCAGCAATCAACAAAACGCTCTCCAAAATTTAGAAATAAACTGGGGACCTCTGTGAGAGACCATGTCTTACGGGAGGCCATGGATACGAATCACGTGGTCTATGACTGCAACCGCTGTCTCTATGGCTGATGGTAATTTGGGCAGATGGAAGAACCTCTCCACCACGATTAAAACCACTGTGTTACCCTATAGGGCAGGGAGACCTGTCACGAAATCTAGCGCAATATGTGACCAGGGTCTGGAAGGAACTGACAATGGTTGAAGGAACCTAGCAGGAAGATGAGTGGAAGACTTACAACTGGCACAGACAGAGCAGGCCAATACAAAACAACAAGTGTCGCGAACCATAGTTTGTGACCAGAATCGTTGCTTAATGAGAAAAATGGTACCATTGACTCCTGAATGACAAGTCACCTTGGAACAATGACCCCACCGGATGACGTTGGACTGCAATTTCTCTGGCACGAATAAATGACCTGGTGGACATCCGGGCGGAGGCACTACCCCATCTAAGGCCATGCGGACCGTTTGATGTTCTTGGAACCTGGACGATAGGGAAAAAAAAAAAAAAAAACACGAACTGACTGAAAAAAAGTGCCTAGAGTTAAGTCGTATGGCGGATCTGATGTATTCAAGGTTCTTGTGGTCAGTCCAGACAATAAAAGGTCCCCCTCAACCCTCCAATCAATGACGCCACTTCTCAAAGCTAACTTGACTGCCAACAATTCTCTAGTACCAATCGTAGTTACATTCAGTGGAAGATAAATGATGAGAATAATAAGCGCACGGATGCACAGTGAAGGTAAGTGGGACTGAAACAATACTGATAATATTTTTTGGGGGGGATCTCAGACTAACCATTTGATAGAGGCATACTGTGAGAAGTAGTTATAATGAAGAAAAAAAAAAAGAGTTAAAATTAAGGTTATGAAAACAAGGTTGTTGAAGAATAACTAAAAGAGCACATATTCCTTAAAGAGGGAGAAACTTTAAGTGTCAGGGTGAGATACTTGGAAGAAGGAAGTGAAAAAAGAAAAAGGTTGAACCTAAAGGGTCTATAATGGCTGGGTGTAGTGAAAAGAATGGACTAACCATCCATCTCCGTTTATTATGAAAGGAATTGGAAATTATAGTTTTATAAAAAAAAAACGAATGCATATGTCCTGGTATGGCAGCATCATGCTATGGGAATGATTTCAGTGGAAGGAACTGGAAGACTAGTCAGGATCAAGGGAAAGATGAATGCAGCAATGTACAGAGACATCCTTGATAAAACACAGCTCGAGTGCTGTGGACCTCAGACTGAGCCGACGATTCATCTTCAACGACCCAAAGCACACAGCCACAACAACAAAGGACAACTCTGTGAATGCCCTTGACTGGCCCAGCCAGAGCCCAGAGTTGAACATCTCTGGAGAGATCTGAAAATGGCCGTGCAACAACGTTCCTCATTCAACCTGGTGGAGCTTGAGAGGTTCTGCAAAGAAGAATAGAAGAAACTGCCCAAAAATAGGTGTGCCAAGCTTGCAGCATCATACTCAAAAAGACTTGAGGCTGTTATTGGTGCCAAATGTGCTTCAAGCAAGGCTCCAGTGGGCACGACAGCACAAAATATGCAAAACACATTATAAACGTATGCAATTTATAATTGTAAAGCATTACAACAAACCAATGTTTATTTTGTCACATCTCAAAATCTTAAAGAGTAACTAAACACATTAACCAACTTTTTTTAGTTAATGATCTGTAAGAATGGATCTTCTACAATATATGGTGTAAAAACGTCTTAGTGCTGCCCTCTTCAGGTTGAACGGTGGCTACTGCAGTTGAATTTTCCTATTGGATGTTTGCGGTGTTACGTGACACAGCGGTTGTTGGTGACGTAGGCAAGTTCCATACAAAGAGATGCGTCTCAGGTGCACGCCCCCCCCCGCTGGGCTCTGCCCACTTTTCCAGCATTTTTCAAATATTGCCAGTGGGTGGAGTCAGGCTCTTACCAGGGGTTTAGTTACCCTTTAAATGGTTGTCCTTTTTTTGTCTTTCACATTGTCATTCTTCAATACTACACAGATGCACTCTACATGGCAAGAAAAAAAAGATACAGCAACAAATAACTTGAGGATAGAACAATAACACAATAAAAGAATAAATCACTTGCGATGAAAATTAAGTCTCATAGGTATGTCACCTATTCAGACAATGATCTGACATGAGCCACATTTAAAAGGCAAGCCTGAAAAATATACACCTATATAATTTTGGCCACATTCAACTCCGTTACGAACGGATCTTTGATTTCACACAGATTTTCTGGTGCCATTGTAAACTGCTGGGCCATTTAAAACTCTTTCTACAAAGAGAACAAGAATATGGCCTTACATTTGGATGAATTTTCATGCGCATCTGTAAGTGTGATAGCATAACCTTTTTATCACTCTGATCATAATTAAATCGCTTTCCTCCCGAGGATTTGAAATTGCTCTCTTTAATTAAATTTATACCACTCTGAGAACCTTGTGATATCTTTCCAGAATGAGTTTGCGAATGATATTACAGGTCCCTATGATAAGTGAATCTCTTTTCACACTGAAGACACTTGCAAGGCTTCGCTCCAGTGTGAAGCCTAATATGAACCTCAAGGTTTCCTTTTAGTGCGAAACTCTTTCCACACTGTTGGCAAGTGAAGGGCTTCTCTCCAGTGTGAACTCTCATGTGAACCTCAATGTTTGCTTTGTTTTTGCCAGACTTTCCACAATGAAGGCACATGTGAGGCTTCGCTCCAATGTGAATTTTTACATGATTCCTAAGATGTTTCCTGTCTGTGAAACTTTTTCCACAATGACGGCATATAAAGCAGTTCTCTCTTGAGTGAATCTTCATGTGGTGATTAAGGGTTACAGAAAATCTGAAACTCTTTCCACACTGACCACATGTGAACGGCTTCTCTCCAGTGTGAATTCTCATGTGGGCATTAAGGGTTGATTTATGTTTAAAACTCTTTTCACATTGAGGGCAGGTAAAAGGCTTCTCTCCAGTGTGAATTTTCATATGGCTTTTAAGGCTTGCTATTCGAATAAAACCATTTCCACACTGTTGGCAGGTGAAAGGCTTCTCTCCAGAGTGAATCCTCATGTGGACTTTAAGGCTTCCTTTTTGAGTGAAAGTTTTTCCACACTGTTGGCAGTTGAATGGACTTTCTCCAGTGTGAACTCTCAAGTGGACCATTAGGTTTCCTTTTCGATTGAACCTTTGTCCACATTGTTGGCAGATGAAAGGGTTCTCTCCCGTGTGAACTCTCATGTGGGCATTAAGACTTGGTTTTTGAGAGAAACTCTTTCCACACTGTTGGCAAGTAAATGGCTTTTCTCCAGTGTGAATTCTCATGTGGACTTTAAGGTTTCTGTTTTGATTGAAAGTCTTTCCACACTGTTGGCATGTGAAATGACCTTTAGTCTTTTGAGCTTTTTTTCGTAAAAAAGTCTTTTCAGTCTGTGAGCAACTGAAAGGTTCTTCTTCAGATGTGAAATTATGATTTTTCTTAATGTGGTATTTTGGTTCCGTTTCATTCAGTTCTTGACTTTCCTCTTTCAGTGCCTTCAAGTCTAAGGAGAAAATAAAAAACCAGTTTAATGGCACAAAGCAACAGACATCAAAACGTTGAGATATGTAAAGCATCAAAACTAATGTGCTAGATCCTACATGAATTTAGCTAGAATCAAAAACTGTTCGAAAAACTGTAACTTTCAGGGTATACAAGGACAGGTTCACACGTGCCTCAGCTTCAGAAGTATGCGTACCCTTTTGATGAGGCTCCAGTGGGCACGACAGCACAAAATATGCAAAATCCAATATTATAAATGTATGCAATTTATAATTGTAATCTTGTGATCTTAAAAGGTTGTCCTTTTTTCCTGCTCGACATTTTATATATAAATATAAATTCTGAATTCACAATAGCTCAATAAGTGGTGATATGCACTAAGATAAGCATTAGTATGGTTTGTCTTAATAAAATATCAGCCTACTACTACTTTATCTGCATGAAGACGCCTCATTAAACAAGTATGAGTGCCACAGGGCTCAGTACAAGGTCCTTTGCTTTTTAGGTTTTATTACTTATTTTTCTCTGCCCGTGATATAATTCCTCACAACCTGAAGAAACTGCAAAACTCTCAAAATTATCAGAGTGTATTTAGGAACTTAGGAACAAGCAATATATGCAAGCAGATGCATATATAAATGTGGTGATTAAGGGTTACAGTAAATCTGAAACTCTTTCCACACTGACCACATGTGAACGGCTTCTTTCCAGTGTGAATTCTCATGTGGGCATTAAGGGTTGATTTATGTTTAAAACTCTTTTCACATTGAGGGCAGGTAAAAGGCTTCTCTCCAGTGTGAATTTTCCTATGGCTTTTAAGGCGTGCTGTTCGAATAAAACCATTTCCACATTGTTGGCTGGTGAAAGGCTTCTCTCCAGAGTGAATCTTCATGTGGACTTTAAGGCTTCCTTTTTGAGTGAAAGTTTTTCCACACTGTTGGCAGCTGAATGGACTTTCTCCAGTGTGAACTCTCAAGTGGACCATTAGGTTTCCTTTTCGATTGAACCTTTTTCCACATTGTTGGCAGATGAAAGGCTTCTCTCCAGTGTGAACTCTCATGTGGGTTTTAAGACTTGGTTTTTGAGTGAAACTCTTTCCACACTGTTGGCAAGTAAATGGCTTTTCTCCAGTGTGAATTCTCATGTGGACTTTAAGGTTTTTGTTTTGATTGAAAGTCTTTCCACACTGTTGGCATGTGAAATGACCTTTAGTCTTTTGAGCTTTTTTTCGTGATAAAGTCTTTTCAGTCTGTGAGCAACTGAAAGGTTCTTCTTCAGATGTGAAATCATGATGTTTCTTAATCTGGTATTTTCCTTCCATTTCATTCAGTTCTTGACTTTCCTCTTTCAGTGCCTTCAAGTCTAAGGAGAAAAAAACCCACATAACACCAGTTTAATGGCACAAAGCAACAGACATCAAAACCTTGAGATATGCAAAGCATCAAAACGAATGTGCTAGATCCTACATGAATTTAGCTAGAATCAAAAACTGTTCCAAAAACTGTAACTTTCAGGGTATAAAAGGACAGGTTCACACGTGTCTCAGCTTCAGAAGTATGCGTACCCTTTTGATGGGGCTCCAGTGGGCACGACAGCACAAAATATGCAAAATACAATATTATAAACGTATGCAATTTATAATTGTAAAGCATTATTACAACAAACCAATGTTTTGGACATTTTATATATAAATATAATTTCTGAATTCACAGTAGCTCAATAGGTGGTGATATGCACTAAGACAAGCATTAGTATGGTTTATGTCTTAATACAATATCAGACTACTACCACTTTATCTGCATGAAGACGCCTCGTTAAACACAAGTATGGAGTGCAACAGGGCTCAGTACAAGGTCCTTTGCTTTTTAGGTTTTATTACTTATTTTTCTCTGCCCGTGATATAATTCCTCACAACCTAAAGAAACTGCAAAACTCTCCAAATTATCAGTGTATTAACTCTTAGGAACATGCAATATATGCAAGCAGATGCATATTTAAAATAACGCAATCATCAACATTAAACAGCATAGAAATTAGGGACGGGCCCAGGTACTAAAGTACTTGAACATGACAGCGATGATCGATCATGTAAACTATAATTGTCCTGACTATAAAAAATACAATTGTCTGTTTTTCTGATTTTTCTGGTTTTTGTGGCATTTTGAGATCATGAAATACAGTTAGTGCAAGATGTACAGAGCCAATACATAACATAAGAACATCAGCACGGTCAAGTTTATGAGCCCAGATGTAAGTTTTGAGATTACTTTTGTGTCGTCTATATCTGATTAATCTCATATGGACGTGTTTAGTTGATTATACACCAGCTATGAAAGCACTTTAGCAACCAGAGTTTATTCACTCTCCAGTTTCAGCTTAACTGCAATACCCAACATTATTGACTATAGGTTATTTGAGTCGTATTATTTTTTTTCAAAAACATTGATGCTTTTAACAGTAGACCTAAGTTTTATTTAAAAACATTTCTCGGTATGGCTTCGAAAACGCAGAGTGATGATTGTAATCACAAAAAAGTAAATTATTTGCAAGATGTGCAGCGCCAACCTTCCATATACATAGCATTATAATAAAAACAAGATTGTAATAGAATGTTGTAAATTTTTGCTTTAGTTGCCACAGGCCTCGTTGTTAAGGAAAGAGCGAAGTTCACATGCGCATTCGCGTCCTTTTGTGCATATGTAAGTTGTAATAAGTAAATCTGATTAATCTAATATAGGATGCGTTTGGTTGAGTTTATTAACCCTCTAGTAAATCGCTGCAGAGTTTATTCACGATTTCAGATCAAATGCAATGCCCCATATTATTGACTGGGTTGGTTATTATTGACATGGTCAGTATCTTTTCTTTCTTTCTTTCTTTTTTTTTTTAAAAAAAACATTGATACATCATAATCTAGCAATGTTATTTTTTCTAGTCATGTTCATGTTTTTATGTCTTGTTTTTATTTGTCCATTGTTTGTTGTGACAGGGCTGATTGCATTGTCAGACAGTTCAGTTCGTGTATACAGACAGGAGCCATCTTAAAAAATAGTCTTGATAAGTCGATCCCTGAGCGCCGTTCATACAGTTCAGAAGTTCGCTGAACTTCATACAGTTCAGATCACTCAGCATGACGTTCGTGGTTTGACTTATCGAGACTATTTTTTAAGATGGCTCCTGTCTGTATACGCGAAGTGAACTGTCTTCATAAAGTATCTTCTTATTAAACGGTCTGTACACTTACAAAGTTCTCAATGCTTCGTTTTGCATGTATGGACCCTCATTATGTTACTGTGTTAGTGTGGGGCTATTTTGAGCCTTGTTAGTGGTATAAACTAGCGATTTCTCTTTACTTAGCCAATGCCCCCATTACTAGCATTATACGCTAAACCGTTTTTAGAGATTTAACTCTTTACATTCGATTATCATGAAAACAAATCTCAGAGAACAATTGACTAGGTACCGATGTTTTATTAGACCAAAGGTTCATTGTTCGCCGGAGTTCTCCTTTAACAAATACTGCGACAGCATGGGAATCATGCTTGGCATCATTTGACACAGATATCACTGAATCTCGCACTGGCTCTGGATTACCACAAGCACAAGAGTATAAACACACTACTGGGTGAACTGTAACCTGGACCTAAGCCCAGTGTGCACTCTGTACCTCCTTCTGTAAAAGGCATGTATAATTCTCAGCGAAGTCCATAACACAGACAAATGAATCTTTGGGGGGATTTTTCACTATTTCCCAGAACTTCTGCTGCTGCCATCTAGCTTGAAAAAGATGGTTGGGTAAGATCTTGAGCTCACTTTTCATCTTCTGGATCAATTCTTTAAGCTTGCCAGACCTGAGTGGTAGGGCCTTCCTAAGATTTCCACGCACTGTAGTATTTCCCCAGACCTGCCAGGAGACTTCGTTCTCTGCTGCTACATTTAGTGGTTGCAGATATAATTCTACAGCATCAACACCACATTCTTGGCATTTTCGGTCAATGCACGCTAACTTGTGAAGCTTTCTGGCATAATCTGAAGGTGGACAGACAATGATGCCACTTGCATGGTATCGATTTCTGATTTTGCAGTCCAGATTGTGCAAAACTTACTGAAACACAACTTCATGTTGGGATTCTCATTTTGCCAGGCAGAGTATGTGGATTTCTTGCTTTTCTGCAGGATTTGCTTCTGTAAGCCAGTTCGTTTGCTGACTGTTTTCTTGTGTGGTTTCAGTGTGGTTGACGCATCAGGTCTTCTAAAAGATTCTTGCACAGAAAGCCAAATTACATCAAATACTGCATCACAACGTTTTTTTCGTTGTTCTGGATCATGCCCTGCTTTTCTCAGACGGTCATATTTCCTAATGATCTTCTGTGATATTCCTAACTTTCTGCTAGAGGCATCCCTGACTTGCTTACTGGCAGATCCAAGGATGGCTGCAAGATTGGCATTAAATATTCTTCTATTGGCTGTGGACATCTGTCAGTTTGCGTCACGTATCCTAAAACAGAACCCACATCCTTGTCCTTACCGCCAAGCATCATGTCATTGAGAGCAATTTTTTCCGTGGGCTTGCAGATTCAACTAAGCCAGCTACTATTGTGCCATACTTCTGTGGAGTTTTTGGCATTAGCCTTTTTATCCACCAGGTTGCCTTCCTTCTAGAAAAGTCAGTTTTATACCCAGAACTGGTAGACAAAACAGGTGTTGCATTTAGCTGTCACTGTATTTGAACCGGGGTATTAGATTCCTGATTAGCAGGTGTTGCAGCCCCCATGTGATTAGGTGGATTGTTATTGATGCTTGAGTCTTTCTTCGCTTCTGCTAACACCCTTTTCCTGTTGCGATCCTTTTCTCTCTCTCGTCTTTTCTTTTGTGCAGACATCCTAGCTCTCTGTTCACGCTTCTTGTTCTTAAAGTATTCCCTTCTTGCGGCTATTTTTTCAAGTTCACTCCTAGTTTGAAGCTTTCTTGACATGACACCTTGTGTTTCCTCACCCCCTTGAAGATTCTCTTTCTGGCGTTCTCTATACCTTCTCATCCTTTCACAGGCTTGTGCTTTCTGAATTTCCCTTTTTTAATCTGATAGATTCTTCCTGTACTCCTTCAATCTCTGTTGCTCTTCCAATCTATGCAGTACGTACAATTCAGGGTTCTGCTTTAACTTAGCCCGGTACCTCCGCATTCCAGCAGCAGCTTTACTTCTTGAAAGCTCTTTGGTTCTTGAAACCACATCTGGACCATTCTCATTCCTTAGCAGGTTTCTCTCTCCTCCAGGACGCTCCATGGAGCGAAGCCTCAACTTGAGGAGACCTGCCATCATTTCTGAAATAAAGAAAGGCCATATACATGTAAGAATAGATGTATTTTTGCAAAGGATATGTATGAGAGTTATGAGAATAATTATTTTTTAACACTTGAAATTCATAATTATATGTTCTGAACACCACAGTGAACTTAATTTACAGAATAGTTGTTTAATTTCTGGAATACACTTCTTAAATTAAGAATCTGAACTGAATTCATGAATGATGACCGTTGTACAAGATAAGGATATTATCTTCTCCATGATAGGCTGCAATTTACATGATTTACAGAATATGATGCTGGATGAATGGTGGCCTACAAAGTATTTGGAAAAGTATTTTGAATTCATATTAGGCCTGCCAGTGTGCTCCCAGCTAAATTCAGACATTTATTACGCATGGTGTGCAAAATATGATTAGGAGAAATAATACACAAAACTATCAGCTCATTCTAAAGACAAATCCTCTTTTGGTATGGCACAATGTCTAAAATGTTTTTGTTGTTCTAACATTTAAACTTAAACCACATTATTAGATTACCCTTTGACTATCAATATGCATAAAATGACAGCTTAATAATTTTTTGTGTGTGCATTAATTTAAAGACAGTATGTATGTACCATTTTTTCACTAGTGTTACCCTACTTCTTTGGCAATATTAATTTTTTCAGCACATGTTGTCAGAATTACCGAAATAATAAAACATAATCTCCCTATTTGTTGGATTATTATTATTTATTGTAATCAGGTTTGTTAAAGGTGTGCTTGCATGAGGTTAGTTCGTTTGCACATTAAACATATTTGAAAACCAGTTAAAATCAAGTAATGATGCAATCCTTTAAATCTTAACTTCTGAGTGTAGCAGAATTAAATGGATGTAAAAATATTATTATGTGACATTTTATTGACAAATTTTTGCCACAAAGCTAATGTTTAAACCAGGGGAGATTCAAGGATTCATTTTAGGGGGCTCAGCCCCAATTGAGGTTATGATTTAAAAAAAAAAAATAAAGTAACACTTTAGTTTAGGGTCTAATGCTCACTATTTACTAGTTTAATCAACATGCAGACGGCAGGGTTTTATAATGACTGAGGAGGACTAAGAACAGCTTTAAAAATCATGTCAGTAGGCAGCTGGTTATTTTTCTCTCTTCATCAGCATCATACTCATTTTCTTTCATTTTTTTCTTGAAAGCTAAAAATTGTATTAGGCCTATATTAATTCTCAATATGTACACAATAATTGAAGAGTTCAGATGCAAAAGCCTCTAAGTGCCATTTGAAATTTTCTTCTAGAATGATTTTATCAAGCTTGTATATTTAAGTTCAGTGATTTCACTTAAATGGCAATGATAATTACCTATTAATTGTTATTTAAGTGAAATTACTGAACTTAAATATACAAGTTTGATAAAAATCATCATTAAAGAAGAAAATTTCAAATGGCATTTAGAGGCTTTTGCATCTGAACTCTTCAATTATTAATCGTGTACCTAGCATGATGAAAACGGCGTTGTTGATGTGTTTTGTCCCCTCACAATGATAGTAAACCATAGACTAACATTCGCATTGTATACGGCCTAATTTCAGTTTAAAATGGTGAAATAAGACAAAAGTTTATTAGTTTGCCTGTTTATTTTTGTCATTTGTTTAACGTTTAAAAAACTGTCAAATGGGAAATGTTAAGTTAGGTTACTTACCTTGTAGTCGCTCTTCTAAAATTCGCACTCAGCCGCTTCTGTGAAGATAGAGCCTGCCTACTTTGATTTGATTGGTCATCTCAAATATTCTGACATTGACGAGCAGTGACAGACCAATGAGGCTCAGATGAACACGCACGCACACACACAGTCCGTGTTCACTCTGTCTAGGTGCGCTCTGCTCAGCGCAGCTGCAAATTGAAGATGAACAAAGCGCTGAATCTGTTTGTAACAAAACTGAAGCGAACACGAATTTGTGTAGCCTAAACTTAATCAAAAATGTTTGGGCCTACTGACGATGTTGACTTTCATGAAAAGCTTATTGAATAAAAAAAAAACACAGAAAACAATGTTCGAAGTTGGACAGAATGAAAATGCACTTAATGTCCCACCCTGACATCTGCAATTTCTGGGGACAGAAATAAAATAAAGTCTCATTACACGATAATGCCAAGGCTTAGTGGGATAAAAGTATGTTTATTATTTCTAACATCTATCTTTAACAAAATTATGAACTAAAAATAAAAAAAATGACAACACCTGGGTATTATTCAATCTATATACACTCACCGGCCACTTTATTAGGTACACCTGTCCAACTGCTCGTTAACACTTAATTTCTAAGCAGCCAATCACATGGCGGCAACTCAGTGCATTTAGGCATGTAGACATGGTCAAGACAATCTCCTGCAGTTCAAACCGAGCATCAGTATGGGGAAGAAAGGTGATTTGAGTGACTTTGAACGTGGCATGATTGTTGGTGCCAGAAGGGCTGGTCTGAGTATTTCAGAAACTGCTAATCTACTGGGATTTTCACGCACAACCATCTCTAGGGTTTACAGAGAATGGTCCGAAAAAGAAAAAACATCCAGTGAGCGGCAGTTCTGTGGGCGGAAATGCCTTGTTGATGCCAGAGGTCAGAGGAGAATGGCCAGACTGGTTCGAGCTGATAGAAGGGCAACAGTGACTCAAATAACCACCCGTTACAACCAAGGTGGGCAGAAGAGCATCTCTGAACGTGCAGTACGTCGAACTTTGAGGCAGATGGGCTACAGCAGCAGAAGACCACACCGGGTGCCACTCCTTTCAGCTAAGAACAGGAAACTGAGGCTACAATTTGCACAAGCTCATCGAAATTGGACAATAGAAGATTGGAAAAACGTTGCCTGGTCTGATGAGTCTCGATTTCTGCTGCGACATTCGGATGGTAGGGTCAGAATTTGGCGTCTACAACATGAAAGCATGGATCCATCCTGCCTTGTATCAACGGTTCAGGCTGGTGGTGGTGGTGTCATGGTGTGGGGAATATTTTCTTGGCACTCTTTGGGCCCCTTGGTACCAATTGAGCATCGTTGCAACGCCACAGCCTACCTGAGTATTGTTGCTGACCATGTCCATCCCTTTATGACCACAATGTACCCAACTTCTGATGGCTACTTTCAGCAGGATAATGCGCCATGTCATAAAGCTGGAATCATCTCAGACTGGTTTCTTGAACATGACAATGAGTTCGCTGTACTCAAATGGCCTCCACAGTCACCAGATCTCAATCCAATAGAGCATCTTTGGGATGTGGTGGAACGGGAGATTCGCATCATGGATGTGCAGCCGACAAATCTGCGGCAACTGTGTGATGCCATCATGTCAATATGGACCAAACTCCCTGAGGAATGCTTCCAGCACCTTGTTGAATCTATGCCACGAAGAATTGAGGCAGTTCTGAAGGCAAAAGGGGGTCCAACCCGTTACTAGCATGGGGTACCTAATAAAGTGGCCGGTGAGTGTAGTTCATACACCCCTTGTGGACTGAAACTGTGGAATCGCCCCTATACAATATAATACTGCACTGTATGTTTATATAACAGCATATGAACCTTCATTTGTAGTTTCTTTAACTAATACTATGGCAAGCCGTTTTAACTTTTTTCATTTCCAGGATATGAATTCTTGATATCAAAAATTTAATTGCTGATATCTGTAATTGTATTTGCACTAGTGAAATGTCACCATAGGCTGCCATTCAAAATACATTTTTCATATCAAGAATTGATTTTTTACTAGTTTTAGGTTTTGAATGGCAGCCTATGGTGACATTTCACTAGTGGAAATACAATTACAGATATCAACAATTACAATTTTTACTAGATCAAATTCAATTGTTGATATCAAGAATTATCATTTTACTAGCGAAAATGTATATGTTGATATCAAGAATTAGCATTGTTACTAGTAGAAATGTTATTCCTGATATCTAAAATTGTCATTGTTACTAGGAGAAATCTAATTCCTGATATCAATTAGTATCATTTTAACTAGTGAAAATGTAGTTGTTGATATCAAGAATTCATATCCTGCGAATGATTAAAAGTCAAAACGGCTTGCCTATTGCCATTCCCAGGATATAAATTGTTAGTATCAAGAATTATAGCTTTTACTAGTTGAAATTCAACTGGTAAAATATAAATAATTATAGTTTTACAAGTTAAAATTGAATTGTTCATATCAAGAATGACAATTTTTACTAGTTGAAATGTAATTAATGATATCAAAAATTGCCATTGTTCCTAGAATTAATCTAATTCCTGATATCAATAACTATTATTTTAACTAGTGAAAATGTAATTGAGGTCAAGAATTCATATCCTGGAAATTGTTAAAAGTTAAAACGGCTTGCCATACTAATACTGCCTTCTTTCTTCTCCTTAGCAACAAAAAGGCGTATCTGACATATTTGACTTTTTGTTTATTTGAAAATGTTTTAGAACATGTTCATTGTGTTAATACGCCATACATTTTTTACTTAAATACTCATTTATGCAAGTATGCCTGTGGTTGCAATGTTTGTGGTTTAAGGTTAATAATACAGGTGATTAAAGTGTGGTCAAAATTTTGTTTTGTCGCTCCTGTAAAGTTTGTTAAAAGCCACTTACGCCCCTCTGGCTCCAAGCCCTCACTTTGTGCTCGTTCTATCTTCGTGATATGTGGGAAATGGCTGTAGCACTCCCTGTGGTAGCCAGTGTTAGCTGGTTTGTAAGTTCCTGGCTTTGTAATTTGGCGGGTCCATTTCCCTCACATATATTCATGCAGCACTTCATGTTTTTGCCATTTCTTCCACAGGGAAAAAGAATATTGACTGGCTCGTTTTTATCATAGACATAATAAATACATAGACACCCAATTGCCTGCTGGAACATACAAAGTACATCAATGGTGCTGCCATATTGCGGTGAGGAAATTTCCACTTTGACACCGGGAATTGAGAAATGTGTTTCGTGCGCTGCTTGGGGCTGGACAAATAGGTCTCAAGGAATTTCCTTTCACAAGCAGCAAGACTGAACATTTGTTTCTGGTTGTATTTGGCCATTACATAATTAGAAATGTCAAAATACTACTGTTATTGTGTCATGAAATGTAGTTTTATTAGCTTTTTAGTCGACAATGTAGCTGTCTAAAGTTCAAATCTATGGTTTATTCATCATAGACCCCATTTAGTTAGGATGCATAACGTTACCTCTACATTCACATTTTGTGTCAAACTGAATATGTAGCATAAGTGGGCAAAATGAGTTAACAAGTTCAATCTTTCCTGGGCTAGATGTGCAAAGACAGCAACTTCATATTAGCCAGTGTGTTGACAAACACGTCACCGACACTTTCCCACGCATGCTATTGGATGAAGGCAACAAATACGTCATGCATGTCGGCCCTCACGCGTAGCCGCCTGCTCTATTCGCTGGGAAAATAACCTGGAGAAAGTTACCGATATTATAGTAATGTGCAAAGTATGTGAGTGTCAACAGTTTATATTGTTTTGTTGAAAAGTGTAGTGGTTATATATTAAAAAAAAACTGGGTTATCCATCCCCAGTTCCCCACAAAACACGAAATCTCCCCTCGGCCCACCGTCCATGTGAAGCACAATAAGCTCCTGCGCTGCATACAGACCACAACACTCACTGCTAATGGGTCGTGTGTGTGAAACAGGCGTTATTGTGAATATCCCACACGTGTGTTATAAAGATCAAAAGAGTTCAACTTTGAGAATGAAACTAACCTATTTGTTCCTCAGTTTCTTCCATTTTCACGCTGAACACTTCTTCAATCTTTATGTCTTCACTCTCCTGTTTAATCAACGCCATCTTTATAATAGTGTAACGTGGATCTCAAGATGATACTCCAGTTTTCCTGTGTGTTTGGACAATAATGTTTAAGAAGAGAACAAAGTTTGGCAGAGAATAAAAAACTTTAGTAGTTTGTAGTCAGAGAACTGGAAAGGGAGTGTGTCAGAATGTGCAATTGATAGTTTATGGCTAGATTGGGAAAAAGTAAATAAACGAAAAATAGTGGTACAATAATTAATTTATAACTAAAGTTATAATTCTTCAAAATAGTGAAACATTAGCAAAATAATCGGTTCAACTGTCTCGGAGTTCGATAAAAAAAAAAATCCGTTTCTCACATTAATATAGAGACCGAAATCGTGTTTCAGATAAAATGATTAATGAGACATGGAGTGAAATGAGACGCAACTTTTCTGTTATTCAGCGCGAACGCGCTTTACTGACAAAAATATCATTAATGTTAGACAAAGCATTACAATTTGTTTTATATCGTTTTATACTACTGTTTTACAGTACTTTAAACAATATAAATATACAGAACCGTTTGAATCTAATTAGACACTTTAAATGTGTGAGAACACAAACCTTTCTTCAGGCGAATCACCGCAGGCGCAGGAGCGCTGCGCAGCTATATGACGTCTTCTTCTTCTTCTTCTCTCGAAAAATGGCGGATTGCAACCAAAGCTTTATGACGTAATATCGCCAGACCAAAATAAAGGTTCACGCTGCTGTATCTAAAATCCCCAAAGTGCAGAGAAATGTACATACAAATAGTAAAATAGATGTCAGGTGAATTCAAAGTTTACTTCTTAGTTTCAGAGCTGCATGAAACAATGTTAGATTCTTTCTAAAAGGCAAAACTGCAAGTGATTTTAACTTAAATTATATTTTTACCGACTTTTAAAAAGTTGAACATTTCAACACTTATTTTGATGAGGTAAAGTTTTGTAAAAAACTTTTTTTCACGGTTTATTGTTCATATATATTTTAAGTGAATGTCTATGCACTTTTGTGATTTTAGACAAAGCAGCGGGGACCTTTATTTTGGTCTGGCGAAATGACGTCAAACAGCTGCGCCGTGCTCCTGCGGTGATTCGGTTGAACAATTGTTTCTGTTGTTTACCATGGTTTGTACTCACAAAAGTCTAATTCATTCAATCTATTTTATAGTTTTTTTTACAATAACTGTAAAACGAATATTCTTTTATTGAATGTAACATTGTTGTAATGCGATCGGTGCTGCTGTTCCATGAATAATGATAACTTTAATATACGTTATTAATTCATGTAGTACCACTAATTTTCAGTATTTTTTTGTTTTGCCTTATCAGACTGACTCTCTTTCCAATTCTCTGACTACAAACTAATGTTTATTACAGTTTAAAGGTACTACAGTCTGACTTTATTTTTCTTAATTAATCTTAAACATTACAAATTGTCCAAATACACAGGAAAACGGGAGAAACATCTGAGATCTTCGTGATGCTATTATAACATGGCATTGATTAAACAGGAGAGTGAAGACATCAAAATTGAAGAAGTGTTCTGTGTGAAAACTGAAGAAACCGAGGAACAAATAGGTTAGTTTCATTCTCAGAACTGAACTCTTTTGATCTTTATAACACACGTGTGGGATATTCTTCACACTAAGGCCTGTTTCACACACGACCCATTAGCAGTGAGTGTTGTGGTCCGTATGCAGCGCAGGAGCTCATTGTGCTTCACATTGTGCTTCACATTTTGTGGGGATGGATAACCCATATATATATATATATATGTATATATCCTTTATATATGTCTCATTACCCGGAGACTGGTTGATTTTAAGATGATTAATAGAATCAACAATTTTCTTAAAGGAGTAGTTCACTTTTAAAAAAAACTTTTGCTGATAATTTACTCACCCCCATGTCATCCAAGATGTCCATGTCTTTCTTTCTTCAGTCAAAAAGAAATTAAGGTTTTTGATGAAAACATTCCAGGATTTCTCTCCATATAATGGACTCCAATGGGGTCCAAACAGTTCAAGGTTCAAATGAGAGTTTCAGTGCAGCTTCAAAGGGCTTTAAACGATTCCAGACGATGAATAAGGGTCTTATCAAGCGAAACGATCGCTCATTTAATAAATAAATACAAAAGTTTAAGTTTTATAAGCACACATGCTAACCTTGCTCGTCTTCTCCTGTTCGAACTTGTTCATCAAAATAAACAAATCTTTTTTTCGAGTCATTTCGTTCGTTGAATTAACCAAATGACTCGAAAAAAGATTTGTTCATTTTGATGAACAAGTTTGAATAAGAGAGTCACGAATGCGCACATTTGAGCTTATAAAACTTAAACTTAGTTAATTATTTTTTAAATGACCGCTCGTTTCGCTTGATAAGACCCTTATTCATCGTCTGGTAACGTCAGATATTTGGGAGGCATAATCATGGCATGTGTCGATCAGTAAATTACTACCTTCAAGTGGTCTCATAAGATCATTGGAGCTTGGCGTCACTCCATCTTGATTTAAGTCTTTCCTTTTGCTTTGGGACTTTGACATTTTTCCCGAACGTACACTATGCGAATAGTAAGTTCGTTAAGACTGAATCAAGATTGATAAGGGTCACTTAACTGAATTAAAAGAACAATCTGCTGCTGAGAGTGTTCAAAGCGCCATCTTTCGAACCCTTTCGAAAAGAAGTAAAGTGAGATGTCACGCGTGATGTTTAGCCAACGCTCCGCTCGTCCAGATACAATAACAATGGCGGAACCTGTTCGTTTATTTACGATCACGTCCTACTTTAGTGATGCCCCCTTGGCGGTCAAAAAGGGTTTAAACTCTTAACCCCAACAGAGTGGTTAGTGTAGCTCATCATTCAGGTGGCATAATTAAGGGTAGAGTCCAGGCCTCATTGAAAAAGAAGGTTTACGAGGTAGCTGTAAGCTAGCTAGCTAGCTAGTTGACATAAGGTGATATTCCTTGTTCTGAATGGGGTATTTCAAAATAATCATTTTTACAGGACTTCGATAACTGTGAATGTAACTAAACGAAGAGTAGTAAATATGTGACAGACAGGTTTTATACGGTTTAATGTACTTATGCTAGTCAATTTAGTATGATCTGACCGCCCCGGGCTAGCTACGGAAGTATTGATATGATAAACAGTGCTGGCAGCAATATGTGTTTGGGTTAAATTGTAAACGGGCAGTCAGGTACAGCACATGCGAGTGCCCAATCGGCAGAGTCGAGTGCCATCATATATTTGTTGATTTGGGCAGAGGAATACGTGTCCCGCACCGACGTGGGATGTGCGTGGATGAAGGCTAACACCTCAAAGGCGGACGAAACGGCAGCCAAGAGAGTGTCCGAGATGACACCATCCACAACACGAGGTTTGTAATAAGTTTGTTGATGTTGTGGGATTTTAATTATTTTCTTAACTACGCAATATGGTTTAAAGCTATTGCTAATAATGTTAATCGTACTCTTGTTGTAGTGAATCATGATCTTAAGCTTTAGCTTATCACCAAATTGAAATTGACCAATTGCAAGACAGTGAGGCTGAGATGTACACTGTGATTTTTTTAAAAGCTTAGATCAAATAAATGATGATCATAATAAAAGGCTATTAACTTGAGATAAATATCATTACTCATTGTATTCATTTATAACCAGTTTTATACCACTTTTTTCAGCTGGCATCAAAAGACCCGTCACCGAGGAGGACAGAGAATGGGTCCGGGCGTCCCTGCTGAAGCTCGGCCGTGTCACAGGCATGGGGTGGATTTTGAGTCCAGAACCGCCTCAGGTCAGATTAGCAGAAACACATCACAACTGTACTACATTAAATCAATGACAATACGGCTAGGGGTTTGTCATCCAACACATGATACAATGTTATATGTTTAAAAAAATCTTGAAACTGTGTAATATAGTCAAACTAACCAAACTAAAAATTTGGTAAACTACACATATTTGCTTTATGCTTTCATTCCAAATGTATTTTGTATACACTATGGCTAAGTATGTGGACACCTCACTGACTTCTGCCTAACTTTAAATCTAGACTCCCCCCAATCAAGATGTGTGACCGGCTGAGGACACGGCTCTATATGTGCTGTCAATAATCAGGAGAAGCAGCGGATTGAACTAAAACTAACTCACACCAACTACAGGGAAACCTGAGCTGAGTTAACAGTGGACTCCTCTTGGACATTGACATTCTGGACATATTTTATAAAGATTGTTTCCTACCATGCATTCTTTCACAGTTGTGTGTACTGTAAAACTTGAAAATAAAAGAAAATTTGATATCTCACACAAGCCAGGTCATTTATTTGTTGTACTTATTAAATCACACCTATATATCACACATTCCCCATATGGTAACACTTTATAATAACTGCACGCTATTAATAATTAGTTAAGCATGAGTAAACAGTTAATTCATCATTTATAAAACCTCAATAGACATTAATAAGCAGTTTATAAATATAGCTATAAATGCTTTTTTCTTGATTTATAAGAATATCTATAATGCGTTTAATAATTGTATTTTCATACTTTGTTAATGATCAATTAATAATTTCTAAATAAAGTATAACATTATTTACAAACCAGTTATTTAAGAGTTGTCAGTCATTCATAAGATCACTTAGAAAGTGTAAGTAAATACAGGTAGTTATAAAGCATTTACTAGTGGTTAGTTAACTATGTTTGTGAGCTAATCTAAAGTGAGGACTATTCGTGCTTTGTAAAGCATTTATAAAGGCGATTTAAAGACTCGTCAATCTTCTAAACAGTAAAATGTAACAAACACAACGCAGTGATACAGAACATAGAAATATTTAACAGCCTTTAAAAATGCTTTACAAGGCATGAATAGTCCTCACTTTAGATGAGCTCACGAACATAGTCAACTGACCACTACTAAATGCTTTATAACTAACCAAATTAACCCTGAATTACAGCATTAATACATGTTAATAAAGCATTTATTAACACACTAAGTAACCATCACTATATGTCTGAATGATAAGCTGTATGAATGTACATTTAAATAGTTCTAAGTAACACGCTCTAAGTAATCTTACGAACCATTGACAACTCTCAAATAACTGGTTCATAAAAAATGCAATTCTTCATTTAGAAATGATAAACTGATCATCATTAATAAAGGATGAAAATAAGTTGAAAGGCATTTTTTTACGTGCATAGTAAAACATATCTGCAACAATTATCAAGTTCACGGATAATTGTGTGTGCATTTATTAATCATTGTAGATTGTAGGCTATACTATGTACAAAACATGTCATCAGATGAGCCCAGAATATGAACGCAACGTGTTTAATTACACGTTTAGCATTTTCCTCCCATTGAAAACCATTATACAGTAAGAACGCTTAATGTGGCTTAATGCAGATTAGAATGTCCCCTTATTATGTCGAAATAACGTGAAGTTTTCTTTTTTTTTCACCATGCGGATCAGGACCCTTGGCGTTGTTTTTCGACACGGCAGTCCGTCATATAGATTATTTAAATAATAATAATAATAATGGAATATACTTTTTAGCGCCAATTTATGTATCTGTTGGCCAGTCATCCATCACCAGCGATGCTGTCACTGTTTGCGACCCTTTGCTGACACTATCATTGCGCTTCTGGCCTGAACTGTAAGTAGCTTCCAAAATAAACCGTGAATTAGAAATTATATAACAATGAAATGACACATGAGAAATGATCGATCATGGTAATATGTTGTTGTGTTTGCGGACAATGTCTAAAGGCGGTATTCACAGCGACAGGTAGGCCTATATGCCCAAAGTGTCTTTAACACGTGCTTACTGACCCACAACATGCAATTCACCAACTGTTTAATGGGTAAAGATTAGACTTTAGTATTAAATGTTAGCTTATGATTGGCTATTTTTATGTGCCAGCCTTTTTGCCTGTGAAATCTCTTCATCTGTTCTCTGTAAAAAAAATATATCATGTCTATCTGATTGTATGTGTGTAGATTTCAAAATGACTCGAAGGAAGTTCAAGCCTTGCCCCTCCTGCCAAGCACCTAACCAGGTAAGAGGAAAGTGGAACAGAGCATTATGTCCAATATTAAAGGGCACCTATTATGCCCCTTTTTACAAGATGTAATATTGGTCTCAGGTGTCCCCAGAATGTATTTGTGAAGTTTCAGCACAAAATACCCCACAGTTAATTCATTATAACCAATTGAAAATGTCATTTTTGGGGTCTGTTTTAAAATGAGCTGTTTTGGTGTATACGACCTTAAATGTAAATGAGCTGCATATCCCCGCCCTGCCTTTGGATGAGGGCGTCACATGCATACCTATGGCAGTCGGTCTAAGCAGAATGGATGAAACTGAGAGACCCACTGTTATTCAGCCGTACATGTTTGAATCGGAATATATAAATAGTCTCTGATCAGACCCAGATGACGAAGAGACTCCGGCAGAATAATCACAAATGAGAATAGACCAGGACGTCTCGGTATGGTTATTTGATACATTTATGTACTTATAGAGTTGTTATCGTGTCCTCATGGATGTGCAACACACAGACACACACAAACACTAACGTTGGTGCAATTTTTTGAAAGTACATACACATTCTGTGATGAAGTTTGCTACGTACAAGCGAAATTACATGTATGCGACGGACCTTTTGCATCATCTTTACTTGTCATACAGGTGCTTCTGTGGCAAATGTGAGGAGATGGCTAACTTGCAGAACAAGAACATATATGCAGTTTTTAATACAATATCTTTAAAAATATATATATATTTATCGCAAACAGTCGACGACAATCCAAACTTGAGGATTAACTTTGAAGCAAGGCCTGCTTTCAATTTACCCTCGTTCACAAAACAGTCAGTCAGAAAATGATTCGCTCAAACATAAACTTAGTTACGAAGGAAAGGCGCCACTTAAACTTCCAAAATACAATACATCCACTGTGTTTTCAGTGGCTCTGATGTCGGAAGCAAGTGAAAACTACTATGTATGTCATTATTACATCCCACAACATGACACTTATGTTTTCAAGAGACATTACCGGCTGTCATTGAAACAATGGAGGATGGTGTACAGATCACAGAGGGCGGGGTCTATGCCACAACCACACTGTCAATCAAACCCCTTGCTCAATTCTACGTCACAAAGAGCTGAATCTCAGAACAGCTCGTTCTGAGACAGTGCACATGATTTATTGAGTTTGTAAAAAAAAACACTGGGTGGATTTTTATCATTCTAGGGTGGTTTTGCTCACACACTGCCAACACACATTTATGTTCAAACACCATTTAAAAGTGAATTTTGCATAATAGGTGCCCTTTAAAATATGTGGTTTTAATGTTCTACATTTCTCATTAGTAGGACACTAAACTATTCTCCTCCTGTATGATATCTGTGCTATGTTACAAAACAGTGATAATGTAAGTTGTCTGGGTTGATATCTATTTTGATTGCTTGTTTCGCACCAAACGCCATAAGCAACTTTGATTAGAGTAGCCTGGGTGTCTCCTACATCTGACACTTTCACTCTATGATTATAATAATAATAATCCTGTGTCAATCTAGAGATGCATATTCTGAATTGCATTGAGCTTCGTGTGTTCCTCTTTCCTGTATACAGCCAAATTAAACTGTCTCTTGACTGTACTTCTTCTCTGTGGATCTGATGTCTCACTTTGGTGTACTTTTACCAACACAGGTGAGCCGCAAAACCTGCATCTCTTGTTTCACAACCATCTCCAATAAAGGCAAACTAATGGCCAAAAAAGTGTCCCTGGATAGGGAGTGGGGCGAAAGGGTCCTAAAAAATAGAAATGCAGGAAGAGTGGTGGACTCTGCCAATATTGCAGTAAGTAGAAATGCTCATATTTCATAAAGCAATATGATTTGTGTCATTTACATTGATATTGTGTGATAGGGCAAGGACCTCATTTTACAAAAATATGAATTAATGAATGAATTTGAGGTAGTCATGGCATCAGTGTTACATATTATTTTACAAGTAATTAATTTGTCATTTGCTTGACATGCATGGAATAGACTTTCTTTTTGCGCCGCTTCTCACCACGGGAAAAGAGCTAAAATACGTGAGAAACCCGGAAAAAAAACGGGAGGTTTGACAGCTATGATGATCAGTCGGCAAAACTCTGTACACATCCTTTTGTTCTGGTTTCCAGACTGATCTCATGAAGTAGCGTGTGTATGACACGCCAATTCGTATTTCTATTTTTGGTGTGCTATCAAGACGCATGATCTCTTTTCAGCGTGTTTATGAACGCTGTTGACTTAACGTTTTTATTGTATATATAAATATTATGTTAAGCCCGCCCTCCCACTCTATAGACGATGTGATTGGCCTGACCAGAGTTTGGTTTTTGCTGCTAAAACATCTATGGAGAGTTGCTAGACCACACTGGCTGCGAAATAATTTTTGCTGCCGCAAGGGTGCGTCTAGATTTCTAGGCTATGCAACTTTAGCATGGGTTTTTTAAACGTATTCTTGGCAAGTGTTTAAACATATAAATGCTATTAAACCAGGCTATATTTAATCTTTCTGAGGAGATCTGCTAGCTTGTTTACACCGAGCGCTGCGAGTCTTGACAGGAGGATGGCTGGACCAATCGCATGCTGCTCAGTCGAAACGGCACTTCCCATAGAAATGTACACAAACGATGATCATTCGTCAAAGCTTTTTGGTTGGTTCTATATAACGTGTAACACCATGTTTGGAGAGCAGAGATAGTGAGGTTTCAGGGGATACCTGGGAAATGCTCAGAGGTGACCAGAGGAGTTGAGAAAAACAATGTACATTTCCAGCAAATTTAGTAAAACTTTGTAAATTTTAATAGTCATTTAAATATCTTTACACAATTATCTGAATTATGAAACTTTGGGAGATTATCTTTGATGACTGTTCTTTGAAATTAGCACAAAAAAACCCCAACAACTATTATTTCATTGTTTTGCCACATCTTAAAACGGAACTTTGCGACTTCCGACTCGTTTCGCCAGAGCGGATCACATGACATGAATATTGGTCGATTAGAGCAGGGGTTCTCAAAGTGTTTGTGCCAAGGACCCTTTGTGTGGGCGAACAATTTACAAGGACCCCCTCACAATCAAAACAATTCAGCAAATATGCTTGCTACCATTTGTATACTGTGGTGCCATTTCAATTATTGAGTCCGAATGAAGTTCACTATTCCGTGTTTTCTACCTGGTGTGTAACATGTTCTTTAGTCAACTTTGGATTTTGAATCACTTAATGATGTGGACAGACTCAAACATTTATCTGCGTTCATCATTTTAATTCCAAATAAGCCAAGCTAAGCAGTAGGAAGAACGGTTCATCATGACCTGAGTGAAGTGATTCACAACAACAGATTAACTTGATTTGTCATAATCACTATTTTATATGTAGATTCTAGATTTACATTGTCATTGATAAGCATTTCTTAATGAGAAAGCACAACTTTCTCAATCAAAGCAAATCCACTTTGAGAACTGAAGCGGTTAAGGTTGATAATGTTAATTGTGTACCTGCATATTAAAACCAGTAACAGTAATGTATTGAGAGTTGTTTTGTTTTTTTTTTCAATATGGTGGGAAATAATGCAGTGGGAATAACTTATGTTGACTGTCTGCATTTATTTATTACAGGTGAAAAAACTAAGCGCATTGGGCTATCTCCCTATTCTTTTTTTTGCAAAAAAAGATAAGACTGGAAAGCGGGTGGCCGATGTGGTGACCCATCTGCCACCCACTGAGGATAATCAAAAAATTCTGGCTACCATGAGAATGGCCTACAATTTTGTATTGATCAAACAAGGTAGGATTTGTGTAATTTAAGTCATGACCGGTTTAAATTTTTTTTTTTTTTAATGATTGGGAAATCTCGAAAATTAACATACACACACCATATTCTAGGGAACACAACAACATTATTACCAGAGCCCCAGCATCAGGGCCAGCCCGAGCCCCAGTATCAGCATCAGGGCCAGCCCGAGCCCCAGTATCAACATCAGGGCCAGCCAGAGCCCCAGCATCAGGGCCAGCCAGAGCCCCAGCATCAGCATCAGGGCCAGCCCGAGCCCCAGAATCAGCATCGGGGCCAGCTAGAGCCCCAGCATCAGGGCCAGCCCAAGCCCCAGCATCAACATCAGGGCCAGCCAGAGCCCCAGCATCAGGGCCAGCCCAAGCCCCAGCATCAGGGCCAGCCCGAGCCCCAGCATCAGGGCCAGCCAGAGCCCCAGCATCAGCATCAGGGCCAGCCCGAGCCCCAGCATCAGGGCCAGCCAGAGCCCCAGCATCAGGGCCAGCCCGAGCCCCAGCATCAGGGCCAGCCAGAGCCCCAGCATCAGGGCCAGCCCGAGCCCCAGCATCAGCATCAGGGCCAGCCAGAGCCCCCGCATCAGAGCCAGCCCGAGCCCCAGCATCAGCATCAGGGCCAGTCCGATCTCCAGCATCAGGGCCAGCCCGAGCCCCAGCCTGTCTCTCTCCCTCTGAAGGAACAACCACCCTCCTCCAAAAAAAGAAAGTGTAAGTGAACTATGATCTTAGCACATTATGAATGAATTTCCCGTTTTTGTAATCATCATTCATGAAATACAGAAATCTTAAGGTGTATTCTAGTCCAGTCAATTAGTTAATAGTAAGTCATTTTCAGTGGCCAGTCTATACACAAAGGAGTTTGTCCTCGCATACTTACCTTTCAGAACTGCACATTGTCTGTTTTATATTCCCTGGTGTCCACTAGAGGTCCTCTTTCCCCACAGTGTCATTCACCTTTGGAACTGCATTCCCCACAATCCTTGTCTGTGCTCATCACTGTTCATTGCACTCAGCTGTTCCCCATCTTGATTGTCATGTTCTGTGTGTATAAATACCCTGCCCGTTTAGTGTTTGTTACGGAGTCCTTGTTATTCATCACACCACTTCTCCAGTCCTGTGTTCTTGCCAGTTTTGTTTTTCATGTATGGATTGCTTATTTGGATTTCGACCCTTGTCTGGAATGTTGTGAGTACGATTACCCTTGAATACTGTTTTTGGATCTTCTGCTTCCTGTGTGTGGAAACGTGACTGAAGGACTCCATTGCTACAAGATCCAGCGGGATGTGTTCTAATTTCTCTTCTCCAGCCACCGAGCGGGAGAGAAGATAACTTTTTGAGGGTACCTGGTTGGTCATATTTCGCAGGACCCAATGAGGCCGCAGTGAAGTAGGTGGCCGAGAGGAATCCTGACACCATTCTCCACTCAGGCCCTTCTTCAACCCTGGACTGGTGATATCCAGCCAAGAACTCTATCCGCCACTGTTTCTGTCCAGCTCAGAGCATGCACATCACCATCAGAAACGGCGGAGGAGGAGGAAGACTCCCCAAGAGGCCGTGCCCCAGCAGCCCGTTGTTTTTCCAGATGCCTTACCAAAGACCGCTCACGTCATGTCTGCGGAGCCAGAGACGGTTCACGTCACGTCTGCCCAGCCAGAGACTGTTCACGTCGCGTCTGCCCAGCCGCGAGGGCACTGACCTACTATTTGTAACATCTAGCTCAGATCTTGGAGATACCCTTCTCTGTTGTTCCAGAGCTAGTGTCTGCTGTTCCTGAGCCGGAGCCAGTGTCTGCTGTTCCCGAGCGGAGCTAGTGTCGTCTGTTCCCGAGCCGGAGCCAGTGTCGTCTGTTCCCGAGCCGGAGCCAGTGTCGTCTGTTCCTGAGCCGGAGCCAGTGTCTGCTGTTCCTGAGCCGGAGCCAGTGTTGCTGTTCCCGAGCCGGAGCCAGTGTCGTCTGTTCCCGAGCCGGAGCTAGTGTCTGCTGTTCCCGAGTCGGAGCCAGTGTCGTCTGTTCCTGAGCCGGAGCCAGTGTCGTCTGTTCCCGAGCCGGAGCCAGTGTCGTCTGTTCCTGAGCCGGAGCCAGTGTCGTCTGTTCCCGAGCCGGAGCCAGTGTCGCTGTTCCCGAGTCGGAGCCAGTGTCGTCTGTTCCCGAGCCGGAGCCAGTGTCGTCTGTTCCTGAGCCGGAGCCAGTGTCGTCTCTTCCCGAGCCGGAGCCAGTGTCTGCTGTTCCCGAGTCGGAGCCAGTGTCGTCTGTTCCCGAGCCGGAGCCAGTGTCGTCTGTTCCGAGCCGGAGCCAGTGTCTGCTGTTCCCGAGCCGGAGCCAGTGTCGTCTGTTCCCGAGCCGGAGCCAGTGTCGTCTGTTCCCGAGCCGGAGCCAGTGTCGTCTGTTCCCGAGCCGGAGCCAGTGTCTGCTGTTCCCGAGTCGGAGCCAGTGTCTGCTGTTCCCGAGCCGGAGCCAGTGTCTGCTGTTCCCGAGTCGGAGCCAGTGTCGTCTGTTCCCGAGCCGGAGCCAGTGTCGTCTGTTCCTGAGCCGGAGCCAGTGTCGTCTGTTCCTAATCCTGAGCCAATGTCGTCTGTTCCTGTTGCTGTTCCTGAGCCTGTGTTGGTGTCTGTTCCTGAGCCTGTACCGGTGCTTGTTCCTCGGCCGTCTTCACTGCCCTGGCCGCCAGATGGACTGTCCGCCTCACCCTGGCTGCCCAATGGACTTTCTGTTTCGCCCTGGCCATCAGCTAAGCCGTCACCCCTTGTTCCTGTTTCCTTTCATGGACCTGGTCCACCATCCCTCCCCGTGGTCCTCCACCGTTCCACCTTCCTCCTGAACTCTTGTGTTGTGTTTTAGTTATGTCTGTGTGTTTAAATACCCTGCTTGTTTAGTGTTTGTTACGGAGTCCTTGTTGTTTGTCACACCACTTCTGAGTCCTGTGTTCTTGCCAGTTTTGTTGTGTTTTTCATGTATGGATTGCTTATTTGGTTTCGACCCTTGCCTGGACTGTTGTGAGTGCGGATTTCCCTTGAATAAAGATACTACTTTTGGATCTTCTGCTTCCTGTGTGTGGAAACGTGACATGCACAGTCCCAGACACTCTATGAGCAAAGCAATGAGCAATACACACTTGAGGAGAGATGAACACACACACACACACACACATACATACATTCATACATCAGTGGGCAGCCCAGGTAGTTTATTCCCTCACCTATCACTGTTCACATGTCTGCTTCAATAACCTTTAGGCTAGGCAGTAGTATACTTAGGCTACATTTCGGCTATGAAATCACTGAATTTGATGTCTTAAGGGCAGTTTATTCTAGGAATGATAACTATAACCATAACGATAAAAGCGTTCAGGCTGACCAACGCTAAGCAAAGTCTCATTTAAAAGTCAAAGTCCACTCACAAAGTTGTTAACAAATGTGATGGCTAAGATGTGATGGGTTCTTATTGGCTGTTAGCTTTTTATAGTTCTCAAAATCGCTTTAAAAGTGATGTGAAAATAAGTTAAAAAATATTGTTCTCCGTGTCATTATAGTTTATCATATTTACGAGAACAATGTTTTTTTTATAGTTATTGTTCTTGGTGTGAATGGCCCTTTTGACGTTTTCAAAGTTCAAGGATAGTTATTGTTCTTCCCCAAGAATTTGTTAAAGTTTCTTGACATTTATGGTTAATTAATATATATATATATTTTTTTTGCATTTAAGGTTATCAGAAATTTAGTAGTCAACAAATCCTCAAATATGACCCCATTACAGGAAGAAAGATAAATGAGGTAAGATTTAAATATATTTTTCATTAGGCTGTCTAATCATCTCTCAATTGTCTGTGGCTCATCTGGCATTTCACATATCACAAAATACTGACCATTTAAGCAAGTGGTTACCAACTTCAGTCATCTTCACCCCCCACTAAATTTTAGATGAACGGCTATGCTTTTTACATTATCTCTATATTTTTAACAGACTTAGATAAGTCTTGAGTTGGAATAACACATTTTCTGAGTCAAAGCTAATGTAAGAAAACAGGGCCACAGCAGACTATATTATCATGACATAATTATTAGTGGTCACTCCAATATTATTAATGGTTTAATAATTTACTATTAGTTATTGGTATTAATAACAATAATTTGACATTCAAAACCTGATTACATGTATGTTTCTTTCTATAGGGGCAAGCAGAAGTTAAGGTGGAATTGTTACCTTGCTCTGAATCGTAAGTACTGCTTTATATTGGTTTATATTGCCTCCATACATGTCCTTTCTATTTCCACTTTTAACCATCTCATAGATAGTGGATAAAGTTTGGAACGTATGTATATTGTATCAGACACAACTTTGAATGTATAGGTGGGTCTCAAAGTTTTGTAACCAACAAGCAGCGATGAGAGAATTGTCATGTCTACTAGGTATTAAGTCCAGAGTCAATGCAGCCTTCTACTAGGAGATTTTAGAGCATCGTTGCATCTGCTGACGAGCTTTATGTATATCCTGATTTCCTTTTCCAGCAAGACTGTAGAAAAACAATGAAATACAAGACCATACAATATTTTATTGAAAATATGCTGTGAAACTGTTACGTTAAAATGGCTCCTCTCTTTTTAACTGTTCTGATGTGGTTTTGTGTTTCTGATACTTACAGTGGAAATATCTTGGAGGAGACATGGGAGCCGGCCTTCCAGTTCCCATCAGGTGCCAACCGAGTGTGACGTCACTAACAGTTGTTGAGTTCCCACAGCCATCCCATTAATATTTACTGTCAATGCTGTTTTTTTATTATTATTTAGATTTTTGTAAAAGCTGTGTTCAAAGTCAATACCATTCACTTTCTAACCCCTCCCTAGCGCCACCCCAATGTATATCCATTAACGGGCATTTCTTCATAAAAATTCAAGATTTTTATAAATGTATTATGCATTTATAGCATTATGCATAGTATAACTTTATGTAGGCCTACACATTTAGGAACAGATATTGGGTTCTGCCCAAAGTCAACTCCTCAAGTGTCTGACGCATGGTCCCGGACCCCTGAAAGAGGTGTACCCTTGGCTTTGTTTTTCGACACGGCAGTCCGTCATATAGATTATTTAAATAATAATAATAATAATGGAATATACTTTTTAGTGCCAATTTATGTATCTGTTGGCTAATCATCCATCATCAGCGATGCTGTCACTGTTTGCGACCCTTTGCTGACATTATCATTTCGCTTCTGGCCTGAACTGTAAGTAGCTTCCAAAATAAACCGTGAATTAGAAATTATATAACAATGACACATGAGAAATGATCGATCATGGTAATATGTTGTTGTGTTTGCGGACAATGTCTAAAGGCGGTATTCACAGCGACAGGTAGGCCTATATGCCCAAAGTGTCTTTAACACGTGCTTACTGACCCACAACATGCAATTCACCAACTGTTTAATGGGTAAAGATTAGACTTTAGTATTAAATGTTAGCTTATGATTGGCTATTGTTATGTGCCAGCGTTTTGGCCTGTGAAATCTCTTCATCTGTTCTCTGTAAAAAAATATATCATGTCTACCTGATTGTGTGTGTGTGTAGATTTCAAAATTAATCGAAGGAAGTTCAAGCCTTGCCCCTCCTGCAAATTTTCTAACCAGGTAAGAGGAAAGTGGAATAGAGCATTATGCCCAATATTAAAATATGTGGTTTTAATGTTCTACATTTCTCATTAGTAGGACACTAAACTATTCTCCTCCTGTATGATATCTGTGCTATGTTACAAAACAGTGATAATGTAAGTTGTCTGGGTTGATATCTATTTTGATTGCTTGTTTCACACCAAACGCCATAGGCAACTTTGATTAGAGTAGCCTGGGTGTCTCCTACATCTGACACTTTCGTCAATCCTGTTTCAATCTAGAGACGCATATTCGGAATCGCATTGAGCTTCGTGTGTTCCTCTTTCCTGTATACAGCCAAATTAAACTGTCTCTTGACTGTACTTCTTCTCTGTGGATCTGATGTCTCACTTTGGTGTACTTTTACCAACACAGGTGAGCCGCAAAACCTGCATCTCTTGTTTCACAACCATCTCCAATAAAAGCAAACTAATGGCCAAAAAAGTGTCCCTGGACAGGGAGTGGGGCGAAAGGGTCCTAAAAAATAGAAATGCAGGAAGAGTGGTGGACTCTGCCAATATTGCAGTAAGTAGAAATGCTTATATTTCATAAAGCAATATGATTTGTGTCATTTACATTGATATTGTGTGATAGGGCAAGGACCTCATTTTACAAAAATATGAATTAATGAATGAATTTGAGGTAGTCATGGCATCAGTGTAAGATATTATTTTAATTAATTTGTCATTTGCTTGACATGCATGGAATAGACTTTCTTTTTGACCAGGCGCTCATTTGTTTACATATACAACCGGCTACATAGTAAATATAAACTTGCTTTAGTACCACACAGACGCTATGCGTGTTATTGAAGTCTCTGTCACTGCTAAAGTCCTATCAACTTTTCAGCCTGCATCAGTTGAAGAAATTACTAGACTCATCATTAAGTCCAATAATTCTTCCTGTTCACTTGACCCTATCCCTACCATCCTGGTCAAAACCTGTCTGCTCTCTATCTCACCTTCTATAACATCCATAATCAACTCTTCCCTGCTTACCTCCACTGTTCCTACCTCCCTCAAAACTGCTTCTGTCACCCCTATTCTCAAGAAACCTGGTTTGGATCCTAATGACCATAACAATTATCGACCCATTTCCAACCTTCCATTTATCACCAAACTTCTGGAACGGACCATAGCAACTCAACTTCAAGCTCACCTACACAACAATAATCTCTATGAACCGTTTCAGTCTGGTTTTCGCCACAACCATAGCACTGAAACAGCCCTGGTAAAAATCACAAATGATCTCTTACTTGCTGCTGACAATGGTCTTTTAACTATCTTAATTCTACTCGACCTCACTGCTGCATTTGATACCATCTCCCACAAAATTATGTTGGAACGTCTGGCTGCCATTGGGATCACTAACAATGCACTAGACTGGTTCAGATCATATCTACAAAATAGAAAACAGTTCATTCAGGGAAAAAATGTCACATCAAAAACTTCTACAGTCAAACATGGTGTTCCACAGGGCTCAGTGCTGGGACCACTGCTCTTTATCATCTACATACTACCTCTTGGCAACATTCTTCGTCACTTTGGGATCAATTTTCACTGCTACGCTGATGATACTCAACTTTATCTCTCCACAAAACCTAACACCTCTCTTCCCCCCTCCACCCTCACCTCTTGTCTTCAAGCTATCAACAACTGGATGTCAATCAACCTTCTCAAACTTAATGGACATAAAAGTGAGGTTCTCCTAATTGGTTCTAAGGCTACACTTTCTAAAAATCATCTTTTAAACATATCACTTGATGGCTCTCTGTTTCCGATCTGCTCCCAAGTCAAAAGTCTTGGTGTCATCCTAGACAGCGCACTTTCCTTTGGCCCTCACATCAGTAATATTACTCGGACTGCTTATTTTCACCTTCGTAACATCTCAAGACTCCGACCCTTCCTCTCCCAGCACAATACACACATCCTTGTTCAGGCTCTGATCATATCCCGCATTGACTATTGCAACGCTCTCCTCATGGGCACCACAAACAAACTTCTCCATCGTTTGCAATCCATTCAGAACTCTGCAGCTCGTATTATCACCAATACAAGATCAACTGACCACATCACACCGATTTTTATTCAGCTCCATTGGCTTCCTGTACCTTACCGGATCAATTACAAAGTTCTTCTGTTAACCTTCAAAGCTCTCCATGATCTGGCCCCTTCATACCTCTCTGATCTGCTTCTTCCATACAATCCTCCTCGAACACTTCGCTCCTCCACTGCTGGTATTTTATCTGTTCCAACATTCAGAATGAGCACCATGGGGGCTAGAGCCTTCAGCCGTTCTGCACCACGTCTGTGGAATTCTCTCCCATTTCACATCCGTCAAATAGACTCTCTTCCTCAATTCAAATCTCAACTTAAAACTCATCTGTTCAGACTAGCTTATTCTACTTAGATTTTCATTGAGACTTTATTTTATTTTTTGATTGTACCAACTTGATTTTATATTGATATTATCTTTGGCTAGTTTTAATGTTCTGTTTTAACTTTTCTCTGTAAGGCGTCCTTGGGTGTCTTGAAAGGCGCCCTGAAATAAAATGTATTATTATTATTATTATTATTAAAGGCAAATCACAGAATACAGACCCAGAGTAATGTAAGTACAGTGCCAAGAATAAGTTTAGACACCCGTGCTAAAGTTGCCCAAAAAAGAGGAATAAAAAATCATCTTTTGGACACTGATCGTAATGCCATAATTTTTTTGTTGAATGACTAATGTATCATAAATAAATAAATGTTCTTCCTTAAAATTAAGGGTGCATAAGTCAGGAGTCAGGACACCCCTATGTTAAATCCCCTTAGAGTCAGGCAGATTTTTATTTTTAAAGGCCAGTTATTTCATGGATCCAGCATACTATGCATCCTGATAAAGTTCCCTTCGCCTTTGCGATTAAAATAATATATATTTAGATACCCAGGAAATGCTCAGAGGTGACCAGAGGAGTTGAGAAAAGCAATGTTCATTTCCAGTGAATTTAGTAAAACTTTGTAACTGTCTGCATTTATTTATTACAGGTGAAAAAACTAAGCGCATTGGGCTATCTCCCAATTCTTTTTTTTGGAAAAAAAGATAAGACTGGAAAGCGGGTGGCCGATGTGGTGACCCATCTGCCACCCACTGAGGATAATCTAAAAATTGTGGCCACCATGAGAATGGCCTACAATTTTGTATTGATCAAACAAGGTAGGATTTGTGTAATTTAAGTCATGACCGGTTTAAACAGTTTTTTTATGATTGGGAAATATCGAAAATTAACATACACATACAATATTCTAGGGAACTCAACAACAACATTACTAGAGCCCCAGCATCAGGGCCAGCCCGAGCCCCAGCATCAGCATCAGGGCCAGCCCGAGCCCCAGCCTGTCTCTCTCCCTTTGAAGGAACAACCATCCCCCCCCAAAAAAAGAAAGTGTAAGTGAACTGTGATCTTAGCACACTATGAATGAATTTCCCCTTTTTTGTAATTATTATTCATGAAATATAGAAATCTTAAGGTGTATTCAAGTCAATTAGTTAATAGTGAGTCATTTTCAGTGGCCAGTCTATACACAAAGGAGTTTGTCCTCGCATACTTACCTTTCAGAACTGCACAGTGTCTGGTTTATGTTCTCTGATGTCCACTAGAGGTCCTCTTTCCCCACAGTGTCATTGACCTTTGGAACTGCATTCCCCACAATCCTTGCCTGCGCTCATCACTGTTCATTGCACTCAGCTGTTCCCCATCTTGATTGTCATGTTCTGTGTGTATAAATACCCTGCCCGTTTAGTGTTTGTTACGGAGTCCTTGTTATTCATCACACCACTTCTCCAGTCCTGTGTTCTTGCCACTTTTGTTTTTCATGTATGGATTGCTTATTTGGATTTTGACCCTTGTCTGGACTGTTGTGAGTACGGATTACCCTTGAATACTGTTTTTGGATATTCTGCTTCCTGTGTGTGGAAACGTGACTGAAGGACTCCGTCACTACAAGATCCAGCGGGATGTGTTCTAATTTCTCTTCCCCAGCCACCGAGCGGGAGAGAAGATAACTTTTTGAGGGTACCTGGTTGGTCATATTTCGCAGGACTCGTTGAGGCCGCAGTGAAGTAGGTGGCCCGAGAGGAATCCTGACACCATTCTCCACTCAGGCACTTCTTCAACCCTGGACTGGTGATATCCAGCCAAGAACTCTATCCACCACTGTTTCTGTCCAGCTCAGAGCATGCACATCACCATCAGAAACGGCGGAGGAGGAGGAAGACCTCGAGCCTCCCCAAGAGCCCGGAGGCCGTGCCCCAGCAGCCCGTTGTTTTTCCAGAACTCATACCAGAGACCGCTCACGTCATGCCTACGGAGCTAGAGACGGCTCACGTCACGTCTGCCGAGCCAGAGACTGTTCAGGTCACGTCTGCCCAGCCAGAGACGGTTCACGTCGCGTCTGCCCGAGCCAGAGACTGTTCACGTCGTGTCTACCCAATCAGAGATGGTTCATGTTGCGTCTGCCTAGACAGAGACAGATCAGGAGATGCCCATTCTCGTGGCTGCGAGGGCACTGACCAACTGTTTGGAACATCTACCTCAGATCTTGGAGATACCCTTGTCAGTGTCGTCTGTTCCTGAGCTGGAGCCAGTGTCGTCTGTTCCTGAGCCGGAGCCAGTGTCTGCTGTTCCTGAGCCGGAGCCAGTGTCTGCTGTTCCTGAGCCGGAGCCAGTGTCTGCTGTTCCTGAGCCGGAGCCAGTGTCGTCTCTTCCTGAGCCGGAGCCAGTGTCGTCTGTTCCTGAGCCGGAGCCAGTGTCGTCTCTTCCTGAGCCAGAGCCAGTGTCGTCTGTTCCTGAGCCGGAGCCAGTGTCTGCTGTTCCTGAGCCGGAGCCAGTGTCGTATGTTCCTGAGCCAGAGCCAGTGTCTGCTGTTCCTGAGCCGGAGCCAGTGTCGTCTGTTCCTGAGCCGGAGCCAGTGTCGTCTCTTCCTGAGCCGGAGCCAGTGTCGTCTGTTCCTGAGCCGGAGCCAGTGTCGTCTCTTCCTGAGCCGGAGCCAGTGTCGTCTGTTCCTGAGCCGGAGCCAGTGTCTGCTGTTCCTGAGCCGGAGCCAGTGTCGTATGTTCCTGAGCCAGAACCAGTGTCTGCTGTTCCTGAGCCGGAGCCAGTGTCTGCTGTTCCTGAGCCGGAGCCAGTGTCGTCTGTTCCCGAGCCGGAGCCAGTGTCTGCTGTTCCTGAGCCGGAGCCAGTGTCTGCTGTTCCTGAGCCGGAGCCAGTGTCGTCTGTTCCCGAGCCGGAGCCAGTGTCTGCTGTTCCTGAGCCGGAGCCAGTGTCGTCTCTTCCTGAGCCGGAGCCAGTGTCGTCTGTTCCTTAGCCGGAGCCAGTGTCTGCTGTTCCTGAGCCGGAGCCAGTGTCTGCTGTTTCTGAGCCGGAGCCAGTGTCGTCTCTTCCTGAGCCGGAGCCAGTGTCGTCTCTTCCTGAGCCGGAGCCAGTGTCGTCTGTTCCTGAGCCGGAGCCAGTGTCTGCTGTTCCCGAGCCGGAGCCAGTGTCTGCTGTTCCTGAGCTGGAGCCAGTGTCTGCTGTTCCTCAGCTGGAAGCAGTGTCGTCTGTTCCAGCCAATAAGTTAGTGTCATCTGTTCCAGCCAATAACAGCAGACACGGAGGCAGTGTTGTCTGTTCCTGATGCTGTTCCTAAGGCAGTGTCGTCTGTTCCTGAGCCGGAGCCTGTGTCATATGTTCCTGTTGCTGTTCCTGAGACTGTGTCTGTTCCTGAGCCTGTACCGGTGCTTGTTCCTCTGCCATGGCTGCCCGAAGGGTCTTCTCCGCCATGGCCGCCCGAAGGGTCTTCACTGCCCTGGCCGCCAACTGGACTGTCCGCCTCACCCTGGCCGCCCAATGGACTGTCCGCCTCACCCTGGCCGCCCGATGGACTGTCCACCTCGTCCTGGCCGCCCGATGGACTTTCTGTTTCGCCCTGGCCGTTGGCTAAGCCGTCACCCCTTGTTCCTGTTTACTTTCATGGACCTGGCCGACCATCCCTCCCCGTGGTCCTCCACCGTTCCACCTCCCTCCTGAACTCTTGTGTTGTGTTTTAGTTTTGTCTTGGAGCGTCTGGTAGCTGCTCCGTATGTGGGGGGTTGTGTCACAGTGTCTGGTTTATGTTCCCTGGTGTCCACTGAGGTCCGCTTTCCCCGCGGTGTCATTCGCCTTTGGAAATGCATTCCCCACAATCCTTGTCTGCGCTCATCACTGTTCATTGCACTCAGCTCTTCCCCATCTTGATTGTCATGTTCTGTGTGTTTAAATACCCTGCTTGTTTAGTGTTTGTTACGGAGCCCTTGTTGTTCACTCTATGAGCAAAGCAATGAGTAATACACACTTGAGCAGAGATGATCAAACACACACATATACACATACACATAAATACATCAGTGGGCAGCCCAGGTAGTTTATTCCCTCACCTACCACTGTTCACAAGTCTGCTTCAATAACCTTTAGGCTAGGCAGTAGTATACTTAGGCTACATTTCGGCTATGAAATCACTGAATTTGATGTCTTAAGGGCAGTTTATTCTAGGAATGATAACTATAACCATAACGATAAAAGTGTCCAGACTGTCTAACGCTAAGCAAAGTCTCATTTAAAAGTCAAAGTCCACTCACAAAGTTGTTAACAAATGTGATGGCTAAGATGTGATGGGTTCTTATTGGCTATTAGCTTTTTATAGTTCTCGAAATCGCTTTAAAAGTGATGCCCAAAAATAATGTTCTTCATGTTGTTTATCATAGTTTATCACGTTTATGAGAACTATATATATATATATATTTTTATAGTTATCGTTCTTGGCGTGAATGGCCCTTTTGACGTTTTCAAAGTTCGAGGACAATATTTAATATTCTTCCCCAAGAATTTGTTAAAGTTTCTTGACATTTATGGTTATTAATATATAAATATTTTTTTGTCATTTAAGGTTGTCAGAAATGTGACCCCATAACAGGACAAAGGATAAATGAGGTAAGATTGAAATTTAATATTTTTCATTAGGCTGTCTGATCATCTGTCAATTGTCTGTGGCTCATCTGGCATTTCACATATCACAAAATACTGACCATTTAAGCAAGTGGTTACCAACTTCAGTCATCTTCACCCCCCACCCCCACTACATTTTAAATTAACTGCTGTGCTTTTTACATTATCTTCATATTTTAAAAAGAAGTCTTGAGTTAAGAATACCACACATTTTCTGAGTCCATTTTTAAAGCAGACATCATCACTGCAACTGGTCCTTAACAACAAGGCAAAGCAAATGTAAGAAAACAGGGCCACAGCACACTATATTATCATGACATAATTATTAGCCTTCAAAATCTCCAATATTATTAATGGTTTAATAATTTACTATTAGTTATTGGTAATAATAACAATAATTTGACATTCAAAACCTGATTACATGCATGTTTCTTTCTGTAGGAGCAAGCAGAAGTTAAGGTGGAATGGTTACCTTGCTCTGAATGGTAAGTACTGCTTTATATTGGTTTAAATTGCCTTCATACATGTTCTTCTGTTTCCACTTTTCCACTTTTTTGTTAACCATCTCATAGATAGTGAATAAAGAATGAATGAATAGTGCAAATACAACAGTGCAAATACAATCAGAGTTTTGCTTTCGTGTAGTTTTGCATCAGTAGTAATAAACAATAAAAGTGCATGTGAGCAGTGATTGTGTAGCTATATAGAGGAGTTGCATGTATGTTTCACTGCAAGGGAATGGAAGGGGTGATAGCTTTCAAAACTCTGGGGAAAAAACTGTTTTTGAGTCTAGTTGTAGTGGTCTTGATGCTTCTGTACCGCCTTCCCGAAGGAAGTGGTACAAACAGTCTATTTCCTGGGTGGACGGGATCCGCCACGATGCAGCTGGCCCTCTGAAGAAAAGAGCGTTGTTGCGCCTTCTTCACCAGGTGTGATGTATTAACCGACCAGGACAGGTCAGATGAAATATGGATTCCCAGGAACGTAATACTATCCACACGCTCCACTACATCCCCCCGTATACAAAGAGGAGCGTGCTCTGTCTTCCTGGACCATCTGAAGTCCACTAAGACTTCTTTGGTCTTGTTGGTATTCAAAATAAGATTATTTGTTTAACACCAATATATCAGGTGCTGGATCTCCTCTCTGTATTGAGTCTCATCATTGTCAGTTATGAGACCAACCACGATGGTGTCATCCGCAAACTTCACGAGCATGTTTGTGGAGTGAATAGCAAGACAGTCTTGAGTAAAAAGGCTGAAGAGGACCGGGCTGAGCACACAGCCCTGCGGTGTTCCAGTGTTCAGGATCAGAGTGGAAGATGTAAGGTTCCCTATCCTCACCACCTGTGGATGGTTCGTGAGAAAATCCCTGATCCAGGAACACAGTGAAACTTATAGTCCCAGGTTGAGGAGCTTCAGCACCAGCATATCTGGGAGAACTGTGTTAAAAGCTGAGCTGAAGTCCACAAATAACATATATCCATCCATCCATCTTCTTCCGCTCATCCGGGGCCGGGTCGCGGGGGCAGCAGTCTAAGCAGACATGCCCAGACTTCCCTCTCCCTAGACACTTCCTCCAGCACTTCTGGGGGGACACCGAGGCGTTCCCAGGCAAGCTGGGAGACTAATCTCTCCAGCGTGTCCTAGGTCTTCCCCGGGGCCTCCGCCCAGTGGGATGTGCCTGGAACACCTCCCCGGGGAGGCATCCGGAACAAATGCCCAAGTCACCTCAGCTGACCCCTCTCGATGTGGAGGAGCAGCGTCTCTACTCTGAGCTCCTTCGAGTGGCCGAGCTTCTCACCCTATCTCTAAGGGATCGCCCAGCCACCCTGCGGAGAAAGCTCATTTCGGCCGCCTATATCCGGGATCTTGTCCTTTCAGTCATGACCCAAAGCTCATGACCATAGGTGAGAGTAGGAACGTAGATTGACCGGTAAATCGAGAGCTTTGCCTAATGGCTCAGCTCCTTCTTTACCACAACAGACCAGTACATCGACCGTATTGCTGCAGAAGCTGCACCGATCCGTCTGTCAATCTTCCGTTCCATCCTTCCCTCACTCGTGAGGAAGGATTTCTTCACCAACCTGAAGTGAGCAAGCCACCCTTTTCCGACTGATTTGGAGGTGCTGATCTTCATCCCAGCCGCTTCACACTCGGCTGCAAACCGTCCCAGTGCATGCTGAAGGTCCTGGTGCGACAACATCATCCGCAAAGAGCAGAGACGAAATCATGTGGTCCCCAAACCTGACACCCTCCGGCCCCTGGCTGCGCCTAGAAATTCTGTCCATAAAAATTATGAACAGAACCTGCGACAAAGGGCAGCCCTGCCGGAGTCCAACATGCACCGGGAAGAAGTCTGACTTATTACCGGCAATGCGAACCAAGCTCCTGCTTCAGTCATACAGAGAACGGGCAGCCCTTAGCAAAGGACCCCGGACCCCATATTCCCGGAGCACCCTCCACAGGCCGCCTTGGTGGACACAGTCTAATGCCCTCTCCAAATCCACAAAACACATGTGGTATGGTTGGGCAAACTCCCATGAACCCTCTAGCACCCTGTAGAGGGTATAGAGCTGGTCCAGTGTTCCACGGCCCGGACGAAAACCGCACTGTTCCTCCTGAATCCGAGGTTCCACTATCGGCCGTATTCTCCTCTCCAGTACCCTGGCATAGACTTTCCCAGGGAGGCTGAGAAGTGTGATCCCCCTATAGTTGGAACACACCCTCCGGTCCCCTTCTTAAAAAGAGGAACCACCACCCCGGTCTGCCATCCCAGAGGCACTGTCCCCGACCACCACGCGATGCTGCAGAGGCGTGTCAAGCAAGACAGCCCCACAACATCCAGAGACTTGAGGTATTCAGAGCGGATCTCATCCACCCCCAGTGCCTTGCCACAGAGGAGTTTCACCGAGTAGTGAAAACCCCAATGAGCCGCTGCAGCTCCAGTGGTATAGAATACAGCTTGGGGGGTGTATAAAGTCCTGATTTTTTTTCCCTACTCCAACATTTCAGCCCTGCCGTATTGTATTATTTTGCAAGTCCTTGAATAAGTAACGAAGACACATATAAAAACATACAAAGAAATAAAAAAAGCTGAGGGCTCCGAGCCGCTGCGTACACACGCGCCGCCATCTTGCGGCATCTAGAATTGTCTAGCAAGAGATTTTAGAGCATGGTTACATCTTCTGACGAGCTTTATGTGTATGCTGATTTCCTTTTCCAGCAAGACTTTGCCCCTGCCACAGTGCCAAAACTGCTAGTAACTGGTTTGCTTTGCATGTTATTACTGTGGTTAAATCGTCTCACATAAACCCCATAAAGAGGACAAAGACAGACCCCAAACCCAACATTACAGACAACCTCAAGGTCACTATAAGACTAACCTGGGCTTCCATAACACATCATCAATGCCATACACTGATGGCCTCCACACCACACTGAAGCAGTAATTTGTGCAAAAGCAGCCAGACCAAGTGTAGAGTCTACGAATTAAATATTTTTGATAAAGTCAGATTTGTTAAGTTATTTTCAAAAGGTTGACATTCCTTTATTCCTCTTTATTCTAATATTTTGAAATGATGATATTTGGTCTTCATGAGCTGTAAGCTGTAATCATCAAGATTAAAACAACAAAAATGGCTTGAAATATTGCACAATATTGTAATTTTAGAGACCTACCTATATGTTAATTACACTATTGGTTACACGGTTGGTATAGGATGGATTAAATGCAGTCTCAAATATTGTCTACAGGATTTAGCCATGCATAATTGCCCCTGTGTGGTTTTGTGTAGGAAACTAATACCACATTGACCCATATTTTGGTAGAACATCAGTATCGGCCAAGATTGTCCTCGTTGACTGATATCGGCTCTTGGCTTGTTTTCTTTCTGTGACTTTATCGATGAGAGTGGCTGATGTTTAACATTGCATCAAGCACTGTACTTATGTATATGTATACTTTTTATGTTTATGAAAAACAATGAAATACAAGACCTTACAATATTTTATTGAAAATATGCTGTGAAACTGTTATGTTAAAACGGCTCCTCTGTTTTTAAGTGTTCTGATGTGGTTTTGTGTTTCTGAAACTTACAGTGGAAATATCTGGGAGGAGACATGGGAGTCGGCCTGCCAGTTCCCATCAGGTGCCAACCGAGTGTGACGTCACTAACAGTTGTTGAGTTTCCACAGCCATCCCATTAATATTTACTGTCAATGCTGTTTTTTATTTTTATTATTGTTTTTTGTAAAAGCTGTGTTCAAATAAATCAATACCATTCACCTTGTGGGTTAGCCAATCAACAGAAATCTTCTTTAATGCGTCAAATTATATATTGCAATATGATGCACTGAAGTATGTAGGGAGGTGGGACATGTTTTCATTCATATTATTGGACACCATTAAGAGACTGTTGATTCCACTAGACCAGTGTTTCTCAAAGTGTGTGGCACGCCCCACTGGTGGGGAATAGAAACATGACAAGAAGGGCGTGACAAACGGGAGAAAATGTGGTGATTTTTGTGCCCACCTCTATTAATTCCTTTATTTATTGAGCATAAACTCAAAACAAAACAACAACACATTTAAATGTAACCCTTACTTAACCTTTCACACCTAAGTTTACAAGTTTTTAAAAGCGCCCGTTATTTAGATCCTCTTCCTTTATGGTTTCCATTGAGACGCGTCATTGCTTGCCCATAGAGCTCACCACAGACAGAATGGCACATACTAGAACTGTTCCAAGATTCAGCTTCCAAGGACGACTTTCTGGAAAACAGCGAGGGAAACCAGGACAGCATATTACAGCCTCCAATAACACCAGAGCAACAGCCCCTCTCACCTGACACGTTATCCCTCTCTCCAGCATCTTCACTTCTGTGCTTTTTAGAGAAAATGGAACAACTGGTGTATGCTGGAACCTCCTGGATACCAACTCACAGTGATATGTGTCGGGTCCCCGCTATGAAAACAGTAACTTTCTCAAATGTTTTCAGAACAACCGGGAACCCAGTGTGCATGTATCTTTCTCTATTGCTGTTCAAATACATTATAGAAAGTCTAGGCCTTCAAAAGCCGTACAGCAAACCCATCTAATGAGGTACCTTTTATACGCCAAGCTAAGATTGCTGTGGGGACAAAAAGTAAGATTGTTAAGTTAGCACTTTTAAACATCCGCTCACTTAAAAATAAATCACTTCTAGTCGACGACTTAATAACCACATACAACTTGGATTTCATGTTTCTAAATGGAACTTGGCTAGAAGACAGCTGTAGTGCAACAGTCTTCAACGAAACATGCCCTCCTAACTTTACTTTGAAGTTAAAGTGTCTGAGTGACACTTTAACTCAAAACACTGGTGTACTATTTATGGAGACTATATCTTTAACACCAAGCATATCTGCTGACTGTTGATTTTCTCCTTCTATTCTTTTAACTCAAAAGTGAAGAGTGTAATTGATTATATTGCTCCTGTGAAAGGAAGAATAGTAAACAAAAGCACCTTGGAGAAACTCAACAGCAGTGCAAAATATGAAAAGACAATGCAGAAGAGCAGAGCGCATGTGGCGGGAGACAAAACATGTAGTCCATTATAACATCTACAAAGACAGCATCCATGCTTTGGTGAACTAGGCAAAGCTAGACAGACTTTCTTCTCAATTATTATAAACAGCAATATAAACAACACACACACTCTTTTTGCTACTTTAGAGAGACAGACAAACCCCCCAAGCCAGATTCCCATAGAAATGCTCTCAGAAAGCAAGTGCAGTGAGTTTGCTTCTCTCTTCTCTGAGAAAATCAATAATATCAGAAAGGTGATCAGCACATCCTTGAGTTGCTCTGGGGTCAGGCAGATCAGACCACAACCTGAGAAAGTAGTTACTATGTCTGATTTTAAATAAATTGAAGGCACAATTTTGGAAGAAACCATACAGCATCTTAAAACATCAACCTGCGCCCTTGACGCATCTCTCACATCTTTTTTCAAAAGTGTGTTAAACTGTTTAGAAGCAGATCTCCTAGAAGTGGTAAATGCCTCACTTAGCTCTGGGAGTTTTCCGAACTCCCTGAAAACTGCAGTTGTCAAGCCCCTCCTGAAAAAGAGCAATCTGGATAAGACCATCTTAAGCAACTATAGACCGATCTCAAATCTTCCTTTCATAGGCAAGATCATTGAAAAAGATGTCTTCAATCAGCTGAACAAATTCTTATCTTGAATGGATACTTAGACAATTTTCAATCCGGTTTCCGATCGCATCACAGCACAGAGACAGCGCTCATAAAGATAATGAACGATATTCGCTTAAATACTGATACAGGCAAATTATCAGTACTGGTACTACTCGACCTCAGTGCTGCATTTGACACTGTTGATCATGACATGACAAACTTGAAAATTTGGCTTATTAACAATTATGTCTGCCAACATTAAAAGCCGAACCAAGAGCTGTATTATATATTTAATATATAGTCTTTTTGTAAATGTGTTTTTGTGTATTTTATTATTGTAATAGGCATAGTGTACCCTATGTTATCTTATAGTGTTATTTAGATAGTTTTTAGTCAATTTGCTATAGACCTATAAATGTATTTTCTTGTTTGTATTGTAATGCTTTTTTACATCTTGGCCAGGGGACTACAGATGAAAAATAGCCTTTTGGCTAATTCTGGCTTTTTTAACCATGTTTGTTCATGCGTTTTGTTGAATTGCACTGTCCCCTTTTAAATAAACCAATAAATCAAATCAAACATACTTCTTGACAGGCTGGAATAGCTTTCTGGGATAGTCCTAAAATGGTCCAGGTCATATTTAGGAGGGATAGGTTATTACAGGTATGTGAGTATAAGGGTACCTTAAATCAGTGGACATCCATGACATGCAGAGTTCCTCAAGGCTCAATTCTTCCGCCACTCCAATTCAACCTGTACATGCTCCCAATGAGCCAAATAATGAGAAAGAACCGAATCGCTTACCACAGCTATGCAGACGACACACAGCTCTACTTAACCCTATCGCCTAACGACTAAAAAAAAGTTTTTTTTTCACCAAGTAAAAGAAAGTTTCTTTACTGTGAATAACTGTGTTTGGTGGTTGCCAGTGTATTACAAAGGTACAAAACAGATATTAGTACTTAAATAGGTTGGGAAATTACCACTATATTTGATAATGAAATACAATTTTTACTGAAAATTTAAGCTATATCTATGTTGCCACTGTATTTTTTATGGTAAATTTCTGGCAACCACAGGTACCATTATTTTTACCGTAAATGTAACAAATTTTTCAGTGTATTGATGAAGCTATAATTACAAATTATGCTAAATTTCAGATTCTGTAGAAAGTGTAAGTTAATAAAGTTACAGCGCTGTGGCGTATATAGCGCAACTGTGCCTCAGACGACCCGAGTTTGAGATCTTTTGCTGATCCGGTTCCCCGTGTCCACCCCGGGCTTTCCTGACGGCCCTATCCATTAAGACATCAAATGACCAAAAATAGAACTAAAATGAATAAATAAAATCAATTGCCTGTAACAAAATTAGAGGCTTTTGTAATTAGTTTATTTAAAATAAAACCTATAATTAGACACATTAGTGTATGTTTATTATGTTTTATGTTAAACATATATAAAACACTCCGTTTGTCCTGTCCTCTCTGTTTCAGCTCCGCTTATGCACACAAACTAACAGGCCCGCAGTGAACCTGTGAATGACCTGAACTGACTACATGTGTGCATGTCTGTCAGAGAGAGAGAGGGGGGGGTCTTATTACTCTTCCACCTGTTTAAAACAGTCACAGTGACACACACACACGTACATGCACAAGTGTGTGTTCCTCAGCTCAGTGTGTTAAGATTAACTTATAAATCGAATGCAAACAGAATCATAACACGCTGTAGAACTACATCTCGTTGGTTCAAAACTCACTGAAGACACCAGATTACAGTAAAGCACGTCATCATTAACAGGTATGTATATTTAGTTATCTTAGTTTAGGTCACATGCTTCACTCTTACTGAAAATGTGTGCATTGAAGTGTGACTATTGAAATATATTTGCTAAATACAAACCTAGAAAACATCCGTCATGTTTTCCTCTAACTCTGCCTAGTAAGATAGATACTCATTTTGCTGGACTCAGATAGTGTTTCCAGCACAGAAATAGAAGCTGTGAGTGCGTGTGGGAAATTAAATTGCTTAGTTGGTGTATTTGATTGGACAAATATGTCATTATTTTATAATACATAAACGTCTGCAATATCATTATGCTGTTGTCTATACAGTTATGGAAGAGCATTAGAAGCTGTGAGGGAAAACCACTTATTATTGCAAAATATTTTAATGATGACATTTAAAAATAAAATAATGACATTTTTACCAACAATTACCACTCATTTAATGACCAGGAATGCAATTACAATAAAAAAGTTCAGTAACAATTCATACAATTCTTACTATTGACAAGTTTCTTATTGGCATGAAAATTACAAGGATAATTAGTACTTAAAAAGCACATATTAATGTCTTATTCTACATTAACATATTCTAAATCTCATGATACAGACTAATAACTACCTTACTAACAATTAATACACAGTAATTAGGAGTTTATTGAGGCAAAAATCATTTGTAATAAGAATGGGACCTTAAAAGTTAAACTGAAAGCAGTTAGTTAAATATATGAATAACTGCACGCCAGATTTTAGTTTGCTGTTAGACAGTAAATCACTTTACAACTTAACACTGTTTTCCTCTGATAGTTATCTAAAATATCAAAGTAACTGATAATTCAGGTGTGCAACAAGTAAAAACAACTAAATTTACCATACGTTTAAAAAAATGCTAATTTGTGTAAACGTGTGGTGACAACATACATATAGTATGAAATATAAATATATATATATATATATATAAAACAGATGCGTGTAAATTTTACGATCAATTTAAAATGAAGGATAGCAGTGTTTAAAGTGTGTAGTTTTTCATTGACACCTTCTGTGACAGTATGATCTGTGATTAAATGTTTGCTAAAGACACACTCAAAAAATAAATTGTTGAATGAACGTGATTTAATCACGTTCATTCAACAATTTATTTTTTTGAGTGCACGTTATTAAGAGTAATAGTGAAATGCAGTTACAGTGTTAACGCCATCCACTGTTTCTCGGATTGGCTTGGTCTGAATTATATTTCATTAATCCACTGTATTTTTAAATATAGAATATTACAGTATAAATATTTATTACACAGTAAATTATTCTCTCTTCTGAACACTCATTTTAAGAGGAGTTAGGCGTGTGTAAACACAAGTAACCAGAAACTAGTGAGCAAACCGGAAGTGTGCCATGAAGCTCAGCAAAGTTCGTTCAGCGAGATGCTAATTTCATTAGGGCCCAAGCCCTGAAAGGGCGAAGGCCCTATTGTTTTCCTAACGATTATTATTAGGGCCCAAGCCCTGAAAGGGCGAAGGCCCTATTGTTTTCCTAAGGATTATTAGGGCCCAAGCCCTGAAAGGGCGAAGGCCCTATTGTTTTCCTAAGGATTATTTATTATTATTATTTTGTAACCTTTTGGGCATTTTTGGGGCCCTTAACGTGCTCGAAAACTCTTGAAACTTTGCACATGGGTCAGAACCCGCGGCCATCAGAGCCGGCCTGAAGCTTGTACCCGGGCGTGGCAGGGCGGCTCGTCAGCGCCCCCTGGAACGGGGTACGAACACTTGGTCCATAACTCAAACACGTTTGTATGTAATAATATGAAACTCTGTGCACATGTTGATCTCATAGTTTCATCTATACCTCGCGCTTTTACTTTTTACCCCAGCCCAACAGGAAGTCGGCTATTGAGGTTTGTTTGTAAAACGCTCGCAATGGAATGTTAAATACTCCTCCTAGAGCTTTGATCCAAATTCGACAAAACTCGGTCAGCATGAAGTCAAGACATTGAGGATGAAAGTTTGCGAGGGGATTTTTGATATCTCGAACGGTTTGGCCGTGGCGAGGAAACGAAATCATGGCGAGAAACGTGAACCAGGAAGTGTGTTATAACTTCAGCATACATTAACTGATCTTGATGAAACTTCAGCAGTGTGTTCGCTGTAAGAGGACGATCACATGGATGTGACTATTGTGAGTCAAAGTTATAGCGCCACCAACTGGCAGCAGGAAGTGTGTCACTTTCAAAATGCTTTGATATCACCCTTTTATTTTTACCCGATTTGCTTCAAACGTCATCTGTATAATGTAAACATACGGCAGATGTAGACCTGTGAATGGATTCTTGATATCTTTGAAACTGTTGCCGTGGCGACGCATCAAACGTTACCATTCTTTTAGGATGCTTTTGAGACCCTTAGCATGCTTGAAATTGCATGAAACTCGACAGACACATCACATTTATTAGCCAGTAGACACGTGCAAAGTTTCAGAAACGGGCGTGGTGAGGGCTCAGTAGCGCCACCTTTTGACAAAAGTGGGGTTGTTAGTTTTATCTACAGTTACAAAAATCGGTATGTATATTGTACTCCTCGAGCCGGACAACTTTCTAATTGACACTCATTAGCTAGGACCCACAGAAAGTCAGATATGTTTGTTTGAATGTGGTCTTGCTCAATCTGAGCCTGCTGTCTTTGCCTGTCTGTGAATGTGTGTGTGTTTGTAGGGGGAGGGGTATTAACCATTTCACTCCTGTGTGTATGGCCTGCATAAAAAATAAATGCCTTAAGCCTGGTATTTTTTTAAATAAGTTTTTTATTTTTTTATAAGTAAAGGCATATAACCAGTTTAATTGTAGTGCATTAATAGTTTTATATAATTAGTTTATTAATTAAATTAACTTGGTCCATAAACTTGATCTGAAAATTTGGTCCATAAATCAAACACACTTGCATGTAATAATATGACTTGAGTGTTAATCACATCATGTTTTCAGTTTGAATATAAAATATATAAATTATGTAAAAAAAAATAAAGTTGATCCAGCTGGAGCGCAGGCTGAGAATAGCGCTGTCATGACTGGATCAGAGATCAT